AGTCACTGGTGCGAGGGGTTGATTGTCAACAGCTTTGTCTTCTTTGACTTGAGTAGCTTCATAGAAAGCAGGTTTGATTCTGTCTATAGAAATAGTCTGCTTGTTGCCATCTCTGCTGATGATGAAGTATTTTGGTGTGCGTTTAATTACTTTATATGGACCTTCGTATGGTTGTTTCAAAGGTTTTTTAACAGCATCAACTCGAACAAACACAAACTTGCATGTTTCTAGATTTCGGTCGAGTTGTATTCGATTGTTATGTTCACGAGGCGGTATGGCTTTGATCTGTTGCATGGTCTGCAGCAGTTGGCTAGCAAAACGACTTGGGTCCGTTGGTGTTAAAGTTTTTGGGTCCAATACTTGGCCTGGTAATGTAAGGGTTGTACCATAAACTAGCTCAGCGGCTGTACAACATATATCTTCCTTTATAGTTGAACGGATACCCAGGAGTACAAGTGGTAATGCGTCACTCCATTTTGTCGTATCATTTTGTGCCATCAGCGAGCTTTTCAATTGGCGGTGAAATCTTTCAACTATGCCATTAGCTGCTGGGTGGTAAGCTGTGGTTTTAATGTGGTTGACCCCTAGAAGTTTAGTAAACTCCTGAAAAAGGACAGATTGAAATAGGGGACCACGATCTGTTGTGATTATTGATGGTACTCCATAGTTGGATATCCAGCGGTCGAGGAAGACTGAAGCGACCGTTTCTGCCGAAGTGTCTTTTATAGGGCAGGCTATGGCCCATCTTGTGAACCTGTCCACCGCAGTGAGAATGTGGGTGAAGGAGTTTGACGGAGGCAGTGGCCCAACTATATCTAAATGCACGTGTTGGAAACGTTTGTCAGGGACAGGAAACTTCCCAATTGGACTGTAGGTGTGTTTTTGTATCTTACTGCGTTGGCACTGGAGACAGTTACGTGTCCAACGTTTAACATCCGAGTTGATTTTAGGCCACACAAAACGTTCGGTAATGAGCTTTGTTGTTGCTTTGATGCCTGGATGTGAAAGACCATGCAAATGCTGAAATATTTATCGTCGGCAAGCATGTGGGACAAACGGACGATTGTTGCCTGTTGAAGTGTCGCACATGACGAATGCGTCTGAAAGGGGAATAGGTACAGGTTTGAGGTCTAAGCTAGACTTTTCTTTGCAGACTTTTAATTGTGCATCGTCTGCTTGTAATTTAGCCAAAGCTTCAAGACTGATGTTGTGGTTGTGTACCATCATGTTGATATCCTTTCTAGATAGATCGTCAGGAACAATGTTGGAGGAGCCTTTGATGAACTGAATGTCCGTAGTGAATTGAGAAATGTAATCCAGTTGTCTCGCTTCCCGTGGAGAATGTTTGTCGTAGGTCGTATTGAAAGAATAGCAAAGTGGTTTATGATCAGTCATAATGGTGAAATCGCGTCCCTGAAGAGGAAGTTGAAGTGTTTTACAGCTAAGTACATAGCCAGAAGTTCGCGTCCGAAGGTGCTATAACGCTCTTGAGTTGATGATAATCGTTTGGAAAAGAACGCTATAGGAGTAATCTTGTCGTTAACGCATTGCTGTAATACTGCTCCTACTGCTTTTTGGGAGGCGTCAGTGCAGAGGATGAGGTTTGTTGTGGGATCGGTGTTTAGGTGCTGTAGCATGGTAGCATTAGATATCATCAACTTTGCTTTCTCGAATGCTGTTTTGGCGCCAGGGGGTAGGTTGAATGTCTGACTCTTCTCTTTCTTCGTACCTTTTTTGTCGGCTTTCAACAGATCGGTTAATGGCTGTAATACTTCAGCACAACGTGGTAAGAAGCGGCGATAAAAATTACACATACCGAGGAAACGTCGTAATGACTTCACCGAGGTTGGTTCGGGGTAGTTAGTAATATCCTCAACTTTCGTCTGAAGTGGTTTGATCCCTTGTGAGTCGATGTAATGTCCCAAAAACTCTAAGGCTGGGACTGCGAATATGCATTTCGAAGGATTGATGACGACGCCATGTTTTTTAAAACGATCAAAAAGGATCTGGACATGTTGGATATGCTCTTCTAAAGATGAGCTTGCAATCAGAACATCGTCGATGTAGGCAAACACGAAATCAAGGCCTCTTGTTACGTTATCCATGAAGCGTTGGAATGTCTGCGCAGCGTTTTTTAATCCGAATGGCATCCTTAGAAACTCAAACAAACCAAAAGGTGTTATTATGGCTGTTTTCTCAATGTCTTCCGGTGCCATTGGAATTTGGCGATATGCGCGCACGAGGTCGAGTTTGGAAAAAATGCATTTACCGTGTAGGTTTAATGAAAAATCGTGTATATGCGGAATCGGGTACTTGTCAGGAATGGTTTGATTGTTTAATCGTCGATAGTCACCACACGGACGCCAATCTTGGTCCTTCTTTGGTACCATGTGTAACGGCGAGGCCCAAGGGCTGTTGGATGGTCTGATAATACCAAGTTGCATCATATGTTCGAATTCTCTTTTAGCTACTTGCAACTTGCTTGGTGGTAGTCTCCTCGCCCTGGCGCTAATAGGTGGTCCAGTGGTAGTGATATGGTGTTGCACATGGTGTGGATCGCATTCTTTTTGGTAGTCTATTTTCGTGATGCATTCGTATTCTGTCAGTATGTCGTTGAAAACGTTGTTCGCAGGCTTCATTATCCGTACACCATGGATTTCACAGTCGTTGGAAGGTGTACCTTCTACCTGTAAACGTGTATTTGCGTCGATTAATCTCTTCTTGGTCATATCTACTAACAAATTGTAGGCACTGAGGAAATCAGCTCCGAGAATGGGTCGTTTGACTTGAGCAACTATGAATACCCATGTGAATCTTCTGCGGAGCCCGAGATCTAATATAAGAGATTGCTCTCCGTAAGTTTGGATAACTGATTTGTTAGCCGCTACTAAGGACAATTTAGTGCTTGTCGTATGTTGTCTGCGTGAGAGATGAAGTGGGATGATGCTGATTCCTGCTCCAGTATCGACTAAGAAGTCTGAGCCAGAAATACGATCCCTGATGTGGAAGAGGCGGCTAACATGTTGGCCAGTAACAGCTGCCGCCATTACTGTCTGGCCAGGCCGTTTCCCTGATTCTCTGTGTCAGACGCAGAAAATGTGCACGGTCGTGTACAACGCCGTGCTTTGGTGCCGTATTTTTGGTGGTACCAACAAACATCAGATGTTCGCTTCGGTGACCGAGACCGTTGTCTAGAAAAAGATCTTCGTCTGGAGGGGGATCTCGATTGTCTAGCTTGGATGGTTGCTATGGTCGATTGCAGTGACGCCAGCTGGCTCGTTAATTGTGTTAACTGCTTTTGAAAGGAGGCTAAACAGCTAATATCTGTTGGTCCAGGTGGTTGCAATGAGTTCACACAGTGATTGTCGTGGTATACTTCCATCATTTTATCTGCCATGTCGGCAAAGTCATCAAGTGCGACGGATTTCCCTGAAACACTGAGAATTTGTCGAACGCTGTGTGGTAATCTTTGAAACCACATTTGCTTTAGGAGGGCTTCGTCTAGCTTGTATGGACCGGCGAGTTGTTTCATGTGGCGGAGAAGTTGCGAGGGTCTTTTATCACCCAAGTCACAAGATGTTAACAATTGTTGTAGCCTTTTCTCATCTGAGACCGTGGTGCGTTGAATAACTGCTGCTTTTATCTTATCATATGGTTCAGATTCTGGCACGTGATCGATTAAATCACCAACTTCAGCGGCAATCTCAATAGGAAGTGCGCCGACTACGTATGCATACTTTGATGCCTGAGATCTTATGCCTCTAGCCATGAATAAAGCTTCAATTTGAGCAAACCAGACTCTGGGATTATTAATACAGTACGTTGGTAATCTTAACTCTGAGATAGCGTTGATCGAGTTTAAAGCATTATCCTCTGGTTGTGGAGAGTTTAGAAGGTTGGTCGGTGAACTATCTATATCAATAAGTTTACCCGGAGAGTTCATAATGACAAAAACAAAAAATGGTGTCGTGCCAGGTTATAATAATAATAAAAAAATATGTAGATATATATAGTAAATGTCTATAAAAAAAAATCGAGGCTCACCAAATAATTGTGGTGGACCAGACAAATATGAACGCAAAAAGTATAAACAAAGTTACTAAAGATAAATAGTAATATTAATATAGACAGTTAATTGTTACAAATACAATAAAAATTAGGGACGTTACTTAAATTGACCCAACGTTGCGTGTTCTGATTAGGTCCGGTAAGGTAAATCCACAATTATGAATGCTTGATGATTCTGAGCAAGTGGGTGAACTCTATAGTGATATAATCCCACGTAGGATGTGATATATTCCAATTACAGTCTATAAATAATGATAATATTTGATTTAGACTTCAGTTAACTCAATCGCAAATGAAAATAGAACGAGGGATGCGTGAATAGTAATGTATTTGTTAGTCGGCAAGCATATGTCACGCTATGTAGTAGCTCAACGGAAAGAGTCTATCTCTTCAAGATTCGCAGCGAGTCCTTGTTTCAAGTATGAAGCAGAGATCCTGGAAAGAGTCCAACGACGAGGTAATAAGATGGTACAAGGTCTATCTGACCTATCTTATGAAGATAGACTGAGACACCTCAACCTAGTTCCGTTATCTTACCGTAGAGTACGAGATGATCTAATATTGGCTAATCGTATACTGAACTATGACCTTGGTATTAACATGCCTTATCTTTTACTTACACCTAAAACTGATCATTTGAGAGGACATTCGAAGAAAATTCAAAAACCGAAATCAAATCGTTTACGTCTGGAGTTTCGTTTCTCGCATCGAGTAGTGAATTACTGGAATTCTCTACCGAAACACGTAATATCAGCACCTTCTGTTGATATATTCAAAACAAGATTGGACCTCTACAGTATTACAAACTGCAAGGATTAATACAGGTCGATAGACTTCTATCATTATTACTAATGACTCAAGACTGAGGACTGAAATCGAAACCCATTGGAATTTCTGAAGGTCGCCCTTCAAATGTGTGGTTATTTTAAATAATGGACGAGAATTGTGGACGTTTAAAGTATATTGAGCTAGAAAACTACAAGTCCTATAAAGGAAAGCAGGTAATTGGTCCTTTCAGCGTATTCACTGCTATTATTGGGCCAAATGGGTCGGGTAAGTGCTCTGAATTTTATGTTTCAAACCGAATCTTTGCTGTTTATATATGTATATATATATATATATCACTACGATTTTTTTATTAGTGTTGAATGATAAAGGTTGTCGACTGACATGTATCTGGACTGTACATCACTCAAATACTTAGTAATAAGTTTTTTAATTTTGTGAAAAAATCAGTTAGGCATACCTTAATAGGGGTTTTGACCATTTTGCTTTTTCGTGAAAATAAATTTGTAGACAACCTGTGGGTGTATATAGCAGGCGTGGTTTTGTAGCTAAACTATTTTCTTGAAGTTTGTGATTTGGTTATCACAACCTCCCTGTACCCATCCCATATGATGAGTCATCAAGTATAGTCGGGTTCGTCTATCCAGAAGGCAATCACGCCAATTGCAGTGTGGTAAAAAAATGTTGAGTGCAATCGAAGTCAAGGCTTTTTCCTTTAATTTCGTTAATTTTTAACTGTGTTTAGCTACTATAAGGTCGAATGTAAAGCTCATCGGTCCTAGTGTTCATGTACAGATGTGATAGCTTATTCAGCTTCGAAATGCTTGAAGTTTTCAATATTCTTTTATCTTTGCGCTTAAGAAGGTGGCCGTACTAGGTGGAAGTACAAAGCAATTCTGGGTTTCAGTAGTGTTTGGGCATAGTAGTGTTCAACACTTAAAGTTTTATACCTTCAGAAAACACCATTGTACATGAGTCGTTAGGACTTGTGATCTAACGCATAGTACTACTGTAATACTTCATCAAGAATACTGATGTTCGTTTCATATCGAAAACGGTATCAGATTACTCGTGAATTTCTGTCTGTAAATTTGAAACAATCTCACCATCTGGAGCGTTTTAGGTTTCTTTTGTAATATTTTCCTTATGTGCAATATGCGAATAGGAAGTTTTTACTTTCGATATTTGATTTTCTCAGGCAAGTCAAATTTAATGGATGCTATTAGCTTTGTTCTTGGAGAAAATACTCGACATTTACGTGTTCGTAGGCTTAATGTAGGTGTTTTACTGGTTACTCAAATTTGTTAAAGGATTTAATCCACGGTTCGGTGGTTGGGAAACCCGTTGCAAAGTCAGCATCAGTTACTGCAGTTTATGAAATGCCTGATGGGGAAGAGAAGCGCTTTAGTCGTGTTATTCACGGCAATACATCCGAGTACCGAATAAATGGGGTCGTATGTTCCTGAATTTTTACGCAGCCTCTATTTTAGTCTGTTCGTGTTGATGAATATGCTGCTGCTCTGGAACAAATACATATATTTATGAAGGTGAAGAACTTTCTGGTTTTCCAAGGTGCTGTGGAAAGTATAGCTATGAAAAATGCACGTGAACGTTGTCAGATGTTTGAGGAAATTAGCAAGTAAATCAACAAATATTTTTAAAGTGATTTTCTTAGATCTGCTGAATTAAAAGAAGAGTACGATTTGTCGAAAATGGAAATGCAAAAGCTGGAGGAGAACGCAACTTTCAACTTGAACAAGAAAAAAGGCATTGTTGCTGAACGAAAAGAAGCAAAGATCGAAATCGATGAAGCTGAGAGGTACAAGAAACTGCAAAATGAATTGGTTAGTATTAGGGTTTTACTGATTGGATTAAGTTTGCTCGAAATTTCTTTCCTAGTTGTATGATTCAAATGGTTTAATTGGTTATGGACGGAATAGAAGAAGCTTTCGCTTAACCGACTTCCGTATCTAGTAGTAGGGATCACTGATACCTCCGGTCAATGGCCTAGGTATATTTAGCTAAGAAAGCTGCTGTAATACATGAAACACAAGTTACTTAAGTTTGGTGTTCGGAATTTGTGACCCTTCATTAAATTCCTATGCTTATTACCAGTTTCTAGTAACACAGGAATTTTTTGGTGACACTAGGGGGATTCGGTAAGAAACATTTCTAGTCAATTAGTTTCATCCTTTTTATTGTGAAAATTGAAGAGCTGACTACGGTTCACGTCACTTTTCCTTCACTACTTATCTATGAGTTTTGGGATAGTTAATAGTTGCTTTAAAATACTAGGTTGTATGGAATCAGATATAAGTTGCGTCAGTTGTTTTGATTGTTTTCCAAATATGCTTTTACTGGTTACAATTCGTTTCCATCCTGTATGTTTATTTAAATAATTGATTTTCTATCTAGATCCCTGTTCTAGTCATTTTCTCTAGTTTTTTGCATCATGTTTCTATACTGCAGATGCTTCGCCATTCACTAAGCACTTAAACTCAACCACGTCTTGAGGGTCGTGGAAAAACTGAATTAGTTCTGGCCTTAGTAACTTGGGAGCGTGACCGCGAAGTCCAGAGAACAACTGTTTAAGACCAGTCTCGCAAAGCCTTTTATGGGAAGTCTATAGTGTGTTAGCTCCGCACTGCAAAAGACCTTACCGTCAGAGACGGAAATCCATGAAGTGAAGTTGTATCGCATTTGAAGGTTGGCCTTTTCTGACCACATCATCGTTTCAGATCCTGGTTGTCCGAAGGAAACACGTTACCACTGTCATGTGTTTCTGCAGTCAGCAGTACGGCCTCGCGCTCCGACCTCAGTTCACTGCTCATAGTCTTAAAGCTTTCCAACCGACTTGCTGGGTATGATAGGACCTTAAGGAATATATTTTCTAGCCAACAGCTCGTTGGAGTCATCACGATAGGCAAGCCTGACTACCACGTCAAAGTAGTAGCTACGATCGGGTCTATCCAGATCCCTGTTTCAGTCACCTGTTCCCGTTTTTAGTATTCTGCTTCCATACTGTAGACGCCTCGTCATACACTAAGCATTTAAGCTTTGCTTTTTCCAGTTAATGGGACTCGTTAAACTCACTTTTTGCGAAAACGAAATTTAATCGTTTACCACTGAATAACTCACCATACGATAGCTTTGTTAACTGAATCATTTCTCTCATCACTTGTAGACGAAGAAACGACTGGAACTTCATTTGTTCAAACTTTATTACAATGATTGGAAATTAGACATGTACGTGAGGAGCTCAAACAAAGAGAAGAAGCGGTTGCTGCTGAACATGAACAGCGTCAGTTGATTGAAGAAGAAATGAAGGAGAAACGTCGTGAATTAGGCAAAATCAATCGAGATCAGTCATCTTTAGAACAAGAAATTAAGAAATGTGTATGTTGTGAATTTTTTTCGATGTGCGTTTATTGTCGTGCATTTTTCGTTTTTAGGAGCAAAAGATTGGGAAGAGGAAACCTGAATTTATTAAAGTTTCGCAACTCTTGCGTCATGTTAGCGAAAAGCACAAAGAGTCCAAGTAAAATTGATCTCATGCATTGATTTTTTTTCCTAATCTTAATTTTTTAATCAAAGAAAATCCTTGGAGAATGCTAGACAACTGCATAGTACACATCTACAAGAAATCGATCAGTTAGAGGCAGAATATGAGAAGATATCTGATATACAACGAGATTATGAGCAACAACAGTCTAAGAAATCACTTGAACAAGGTCGAGACCTAGAACTAGAGGAAACTCAGGTTTGTCTATATCCCATTATATATATATATATATATATATATATATATATATATATATATATATATCGCTGTGCCTAGTCAACATCACAGTCAGCTCTTTAGTTGAAAAAAGCCGATCATCTTTGACTCATAGACTTCATCTTCATCCATTTTATGGTACTCAGTGAAATCACATTTATATGGTACTTGGTTTTGATTATACATGAATCCCAAGAGGCTATCGTAACTACTAAATGGGACAGTAAACTTTAACTAATATACTGGAATCAGTGAGAGTAGAGTTTCTATCACTGAAATCCTAATAGATAAAGTTAAGCTTCCTGAGCTGAGCAAATACATCTTCAGTTCAACTGTTGACAATAATTTTTTATCTAAAACTTTAAAGGTTTCGTTATTTTTTTATTGAAAGAAACAGCATATTAACCGTTGAATGAGTTTAAAGGCCCAGCCAGTTCGGGTGTGAAGCGAATCTCGCCTAGGAAAATATGTAATCATTTATTTCATCATCACAATAGACGAAAAATAGTTTCCTACACGAGAGCATGTAATTTCTTAATACGCAGAGTTGACTTAAAAATCAAATAGTTCTAGGTAAGTTAGCCAGAACACATCTGTAAATTCGTAGGGAAAGGACTGCAACTTAGTTGCCTAGATCGAATTCTATGTCACAAGCTTGAAATTCATGACCAACTGATTGTGAATTGAGTGTTTAAAATTTATACTTGTGGTAGCTGTCTAAAACCTCAACAATGTTCCATTCGATACTGTAGTCAGATGTTATATTGCTTAAACTTCGTTAACTACAAAGTGTTTACAGACATTACTGTTATATCCTAACGAATAATAAATGAATGGTAACTACTAGGAGTTATTTACGAACTGGCATATATATATATATATATATATATATATATTATTGCATAACTGCTAAGTAACTAGATTACATACTTATATCTCTTTTATTATAAGCCTTTATTTGACCTACTGGCTATTACGATACTATTCGCCATTCTTAAATTGTTCCAGATTTATTAGTTACAGTCTCACACAACCACTTTTGGGTTGATACTGTATAATTGTTATTTTCTATTTTGTGGTATGATGCGGTCTGATTTGCTTGTATATAAACTGCGTATATCTGGAATACATGATTTATGCAGTATAAGCTGATATTATGTTCTGAACTCAACGGGCTGAGCAAAACAAGAAGAACCAATAAGGAATCGGAGTTGACTCTAGGTTTCTCGTGCTGGTTAACGCGTCATTGGTTTGGCACAGGACCAATGTCATATGAATTGGTGTTTTAATTGGCGATTTAGTTATGTGGTAATTGACATAACATTTATGTTTAACAGAAATAATTTGTGAGGACATTAATTTATGCTGCTTACTATTTTATTCATTTATCCTTATTATTTTATGTCATTTTTTTCGGGGGATCAGTTGTCTGAATATCATCGGTTAAAACAAAAGGTAGCTGAACGAACATCACATTTGTCTGCTGTGCTAGACAATTTAAATCGTGAGTATAATGAACAGAAAGATTTATATGATGCATTGTACCGAAGAAAAAATGAAATTGAAAGTTCTTTGAAACGTAAAGAAACTGAATTAAATGAAAATAAAAAACGCTTGCAAAAATTATTGGAGTATATTGAGTAAGTTGGTCATATATTTATTATTAGTTTTTAAACTAATGATGATGGTGTCGGACTTAATTTAGTGATTAAAATCAGTTGGAAGGCTCGTAAATTTGAACAGACTAAGAGGGATTAGATATCAGCCACTTCGAACTCAACTGTACAGTATTTTAAGAGTGGTATACTTCTATGTTTGTTCCTCATTTATTTAATCATTATAACACTGGTGCTTTGTATACTTCAGATTGAAATTCTCTATTGACTTACCATGAATTTGGCAATGTACACTAAAGTTCGTGTCACATGAAAATGATGTTTAATGAACCATTTTTTGCCAAATAAGTTTCCCAAGAGGAAACTAAAATATTGTTTTAAGCTTTTGAGACAGGAAAAACTATAATTGTTTGACGCTGATAAGTATGCCTGTGTTCTAGGACCTGACGAATGATGAATATGTGGTCGATGCATCCACAACCAGGTCTGAAGCCAGTCTAATTTTCTCGTGTTCGCAGTTCACGAATATTAGTTAAGCGTCCAATAATTATTGAGGCTGGTATTTTGGATGCTATATTGATCAAACTAATCCCTCCATGGTTATCACAGGATGATTTTGACCCCTTCTTATATACTGGGACAATCAGTGATTGCGACTAGTCAGACGAAACTACGTTCAACTCCTAGATTTTAGCTAAAATATTAGTTAACCTAATCTTTAAAATTGGACCACCAAACTTAAAGACCTTTGGAGCCAATCCATCTGGACCAACTGCTCTTCCTCGTTTCAGATTAGCCGTAGCTTTTTGAACTTCAACTAAAGTCGGGGGCCTACTTCAATGTTCCATTCACGCTGTTTGGGAATTGTTGGTAGTTGTAGAGTAGCTGAAGGCCAGCTGAACTGTTCTCTGAAATGTTCCGCCCATCGTTCTGAACGTCTAGACTGGGAGCAGATAAGGATGTCGTCTTTTTCAAAGATAATCTCACTTGATGCACAGTGTACTAGTATTTATTCTGCGGAACTTTTAGTACGTGCCTCTTGTCTCTACACTTATCAGTAGTGTCGGCTTTGTAGTTAAAATTCTCGACGTTAAACTAATAGACTTCACGTTATGAGTCCGGTCACCAACGTTTTGGACATTCAGGTAGGATCGCTATACATTACATGAAATATGCTCGACTCAAATCCGAGTGCACAAACTTTTAACCACCTGTCGATTTACAATATTTTTTTGCACCGATAAATTCAGATTAAATGTTTTGTCAGATATCACCGAGAGACTGCTGTAACATATTTACATATGCACTATTACTCAACGATTCTTCATTCTTATGTAATATTTAGCTCAAGTAATCGTGCTATAACCGAACAACGTGAAACAGAAAAAGCTATTCGGGAAGAAGTTGAATTGGCCACTAGACGTATTGATGAAATTAATGCTGAGTTAGAAACTGTTGTTTGTCAGCTTGGTGAAGCAAAAGTTGAACGACATGAATCATCTCGTGCAGCCAAAAAACAAGAGCTTATTGAAAATTTAAAACGTCTTTTTCCTGGAGTTGTAAGTAGCACTATATATTAATACATTTCTAATAATTAAATTATCATGTGGCTACTAATCTTAAAAATTAGTGCAGTAATCACACTCACAAATTCATGTACTACTGACTCCTTGTTATCAATCGTTGAAAGCGATCGCTAGTTTAGTGTGCATCAATTTTTATCTAATTACTAGTGTTTACAAATAATGATTTGAAATTTTATACGGCTCACATCTAATACGTATGTTACAAAATGAATCAGTTATGATACCACTCCCGTGTGTCCCAATAAGTGTAAAAAGTTTAAGCATCACTACAGCATTTCTACGGGACCTGATTATTTTCTAACAAAACAATTGTAGTTGAATTTACATTCAATTTTTATTGTTTTAACCAATTTACAATAATTAATGCACCTTGTTGATACCGTTGAAGTTGATTACATGTTCTCACATTAAACAGTTGGTATTTACTAAATGATCTCAGTACTCCAAATACACTAAACGTATTACATTGCAGTAGTTTTCATACTGTCAGCTTTTCAGTCGCTTATAAAGTAGTTAAAATAAGCCTAGGTGATTAGTAATATAGAGGACTGTTGGGTTAGATTAGTACTTCCTTATGCGCCGTCAACTCCTGTATGAAGTATGAAAGTTCACTTACTTATTTACGTACGCCTGTTACCCCCAATAGGTTGCCGACCAGCATTCTCCAACTCACTCTGTCATGGGCCTTCCTTTATAGTTCGATCCAATTGTTGTTCATCCTTCTCATGTCTCTCTCCGTTTCTCGAGGTAATGTGTTCTTGGATCTTCCTCCTCTCCTTTGGCATTGAGGATTCCATGTGAGGGCTTGCCTCGTGACACAGTTGGGTTCTTTCCTCAATGTGTGTCCTATCCACTTCCAGCACTTCTTCCTGATATCTTCCTCCGATGGGATCTGGTTTGTTCTCTCCCACAATGGGTTGTTGCTGATAGTGTCTGGTCAACGGATCCGAAGTATTTTGTGTAGACAGCCGTTAATAAACACCTGTATCTTCTAGATGATGGCTTTTGTAGTTCTCCAAGTTTCCGCCCCATACAATAGAACTGTCTTGACATTTGTATTGAAAATTCCGACCTTGGTGTTGGTTGACAGTTGTTTTGAGTCCTAGATGGTCTTCAATTGCAGATATGCTGCTCTTGCTTTGCCGATCCGCGCCTTCACATCTGTATCAGATCCACCGTCCTCATCAATGGTGCTGCCTAGATATGTAAAGGTTTTTACATCCTCCAAAGCTTTTCCATTAAGTGTGATTTGATTAGTGCGTGTTGGGTTGTATCGGAGAATCTTGCTTTTCCGTTTTTGTATGTTGAGATGTACTGCTGCTTAGACTGCTGCTCCACTGGTCGTCTTCTCATGTATTTGTTATTGCGTGTGCGATAGAAGAGCCAGATCATCTGCGAAGTCTAGATCGTCCAGGTGCATCCTATCTGTCCACTGTATCTCGCTCTTCCCCCGAGATGTTGACGTTTTCATGATCTAGTCGACCACCAGAAGAAAGAGAAAGTGTGAGAGTAAGCAACCGTGCCTGACACCTGTCTTTACTTCGCACGAGTCTGTAAGCTGTCTTGCGTGCACGACTTTGTAGTTTAATCCATCATAAGAATTTCGTGTGATATTGACTTTCTTCTGAGGCATGCCGTAGTGTCAAAGAGGCCTCCATAGTATTGTCCTGTCTATGCTATCAAATGCTTTCTCGGAGTCAATGAAGTTGATGTAGAGTGATGAGTTCTATTTAATTGATTGTTCCACAATTATCCGTAGTGTTGTGATTTGGTCTGTGTTGTCCATTCCAACCTTGGCATTTAGGTCTGCCATCAGAATGGTCAAGTCCTTTGTTGGGCACTTCTCGACGATTGACTGCAGCCTATCGTAGAATTGATCTTTAACGTCTTCATTGTAGTCGTTGTTAAGCGCATAGCATCGGATGACGTTCGTTGTAATGTCCCACTACTTTGTTTTGAAAAAGGCTTTGATGATCCTGTGTCCATGAGATTCCCATTCTGTAAATGCTTTTTGTGCTTGTTTGGATAGCATCAGTGCAACTCTTTGTGTATGTGGAGCGTTTTTTCTTCATGGTTGGAGTATAACAGCAGCTCCCCTGAAGCTAGTCTTTGTTTTCCAACGTGCGTCTAATGTTTCACTGATTCCAAGCACAGTCAGGTTGTATCTCCTCATTCCTGCAGCAATTTAGGAAACTCTCCCGGTCTCCACATTGTACGAGTATTCCATGTATCTAACTTGATGGTTGCTCTGGTTGTCAGAAAGGGCATCGACCTCGTGGCTTCCGGAGGAACTCGGCTTTCATCATGAGACGTCATAACTCTTCTAAATGAAAACCTTCTAACTCCCAAGACAGTTCAAATGCTTTGAATTATTTTTTCTAGTTAGCGTTTTTAGTGAGCTAGTTTTTTATGAGATGGGGTCGCTAACCCCGTGCCCAATCCTCCTCCTTTATCCGGGCTTGGGACCGGCAGTAGCCCCGGAGGGACTCCAGGCGGAATTATGAGAGCTCATCCTTGACTCTAATACTTTTCATCTTATTGTTATGAGTCAGTTATAAGGTTCTATCATAATACTGATAACAGTTAGCCAGTCAATCAGTCAGAAACAACTTAGGACCTAGTACATATGTGCATCGGTCCAAGTTGCCACACCACATCACAGGGATAGTGCTAAATTTCTTTATTTGGGGTTCAGTATAGGGCTACAGTACTTTCAAAACTAGTAATATTTGAGCTACTGTGATAAGATTGGTTATATTTTGTGAAATAATATACCGAAAGTCTGATGTGAGCATTTCATTTTCATCTATCACACCGCTTTGTACACTTTGCTCTAGGGAACAGAATGAGTATCATTAGATGGTAAATGACTCGTATACTATGATTAATTTTTATTCTCTGTAACATTATTATGGTTATGATTTTATTATTACTATCAAGCATGGCCGATTACTGGAAATGTGTCAACCATCACATCGCCGTTATCAAGTGGCAATTACGAAAGTCCTTGGTAAATATATGGATGCTATAGTCTGTGATAGTGAAAAAACAGCTAAAGAGTGTATTCAGTATATGAAAGATCAGCGTATTGAACCGGAGACATTTTTACCACTTGACTTTTTGGATGTGAAGCCAATTGATGAGAAATTACGGTAAAAAATATTCAATGATTACAATTATGGTCATTTTTTTTACCTGTAAAACGAATAAACACCAGAAACATAATTCATTATTAATGGATACATTTGCAGTTGATTGATCATTGAGTAGTAGTTACCATTATCATATATCCAGCCCTTTAGTTCTGATCGAATTCTGTCGATCAAGTAACGATGTGGTCACTAGTGACTGGAAATCAGATTTACTATGTTGGGACCATCTCTCATTCATACCCGATGTGACTGAACTCTGTTGATCATGGCTTCTTTCTAGAACCTCAGGAATTATTTGCACAATATCGTGCCTTCGGCCGCGAGACCGACTCCTGAATGCAGGGCCGTATTTTCTCATTTCCGGGGAGCCTCATACTGGGAGGAAACATCCACAGTGCTACCTCGTTCTCAGTGGTGGTCTAGCTTAGATCAGTTTGTGATTTAAATCATGAAAAGTGATGTTTGTTACTACCTAGTAGTTGATTCGCAGTGGTATTTATTACTTTAGAGATAGTCAGATTTGTTCTCTGAACAAAATTATTGGGGAATTAGTAAACTGAACCATTCGTCGTGCGTTTAATAATGTTAATAAATTCATTTCTGACTTGTTTCAAAGTTGGGAGTTGTACGTTCTGTCGACATCTTTCATTTTTACATTTGTAGGGCTCAGAATAACTCCCGATTAGAAATACTCAAAGGGTTTGGTAATTTAAGCAAATATTATTTCATGAACTGCTTATTGGTTTTGTACTCTTTAGTTTTGATTATCGTGAAACCCTAGCACTGGCGTTCCTATTCCCTTAGATATTTTCAAAGTATTCTCTGGAAATGGAACTCATCATTCATCGTATCAGATAGTAAACCACAGTAACCTCAACGGGCGTAACCATTCAATATTGCTTCATATTATTGACTTACAAGACTGAATAAGGTAGTATTTACTGATTTTTATTACACTATGACACTGTCAGACTGCAACAATGTTATAATTAAGATTACTTCTTAACATCAGATACTTTATTAGAACTACTCACATATCATTGGATATAAATCTCGTTTGACTGGTTTATTTCATTTATCTACTTAATTTTGCAAGATAAACATTTTTTCTCGTTTCGCCATATTTTATTTTTCGCCTTTAAATAGTGAAATCAGTGATCCACCTAATGTTCATTTAGTAATTGATGTTATCCAGTGCGATCCAATTATAGTAAAGAAGGCGTTAACATTTGCATGTGGCAATGCATTAGTATGTGAAACTGTCGAACATGCTCGTTATGTTGCTTATCATATGGGTGATAGAAAGAAGGTAAGCTAGATCTATCTATATATATAGTCCTATAAACAGTTAACTCTCTCATATCATTAATTATCTAATTTTTAATTCTTTTAAACTTATATGCACTGAGCGAAAGATGTAAGCTTAGATTTCACGTTTGTTGACAATACGTATGTGTATTCCGTGAATTCATGTATCTTAAAATTATAAGAAAATGTTATACAGTTGTTGTGGATAAGGCGGAGATACTTAATACCCATACAATTGTTACCTGGGAATTTATATAAGGCCTTCTGAAAGTCATTGTCTTCTAAATAAATGAGAAGTTTAGTCTGTAGCTTTATCACTAGATATCACGGATTTGTACTTGAGAAAATTAAAGATTCTTTTAGTTATGTATATGTTGAATGCCAAGAAATGTTGATCAAGGACCTGTTATCATTTTCTCCTGATAATTAAGTGTATTAATGTTAATATTTCCCTCGACCTGTAAAGGTGTCTACTGTCGTTTTGTGGTAAATTGTTTTTAGTGTCTTCAGTAGTGGTTTCTAAAATCTTAAACCTGTTTAATAACTCTAGAAATCTGTAGAATAACTGAGGTAAGCCAAATATCTGCAATCATTCTTTTCGACTCCTCATGCACTTTATGAGATGGCAACATTACTTGTGGTACTTTAATCCACATGAAACATTTTACTACCGCTACATCCTGGTGCAGCCCACATTACAAGTTGTTTGGATCTTCTTTTTTAAATGGTATAATTCTCCGATAAACCTACTTGGCATGATTAAATCTTAAAAAGGCAAATATTCCAATCAATATAGCTTAATAAGGACTGCTAAGATAACGTCTACAGTTGGGTGTATAAGTGCTAATATACTAATGTTTACAGCGATAATACTGACATAGTTTTAGGGATTCGAAATATAACTTTCAATCTTTACTTCATAATAATTGTTCCTTTTTAAAAAAATTGTTTACTTCACTAGACTGTTTCGTTAGAAGGCACTCTCTTTCAACGTTCTGGTGTTATATCCGGTGGTGCAAGGTAAATATTTAATTATTTATTTGAAGTCCAAATACTTTTAGTTATATCATACCATAATCAGTTTAAAAATCACAGTTTTGTCCTCATGTATTTTCTAATCCTAGTTTTCTTCACAAATTTGTGTTATTTGTCAATTATCACTTTTATGTCATTTATAATCGCCTCCTTGTTTGGTGCTCTCCACACTACATTTATGATAATTTGTATATATACCTCATTTTTCTCTAGGGTGAAAATAGAGCTCTCCTAAAATTTGTCTTCTTTCCTTTCGCTGCGTTCAAAATTTAAAGTAGCGAGTTTGACAAATTCGTCTTTCACATTCAAGTTCAACACTGTTATCGATCCTGTTGGTAATTGTTATAACTCGTGACCTTGTGCCCAATTATTATATAACGTAATTTTATCACCAACGACCAATAACGTGTAAACCCGTACTAGCAGTCTAGAGTCTTTATGGATCTTTCTTCCTGCCTGTTGAGTCCAGAACACAAATCTCAGCCTCCGCGAAATGAATCGTGTATTTGAAACACGCAGGTACATCCAGCTGACGAGTCCCAAGTAGGAGGAATCGCGCGTCCTGGATTCTACTGCTAGCCACTATCCATCTTTGCTTATAATACTGGGTTTATATCCTTATCTGCAATTCTACATAAAACTCGACATGATAACATTCTTTATTAAGCGATTCTACCACACTCACGATCAGTGCCTTGAAAACGTTTCTGATCAACCATCAGAAACGTGATTTGATAAAATCCACTTGGAAGCTTGTAACTAAACTGAAAAGGTGGAATAGTGATTCAATAACTTATACTATTCACCTTAACATGCTGTTTACCTACTTTCTGGTTTAAACTTTTTTCATAATCATGCAAAATAGAGAAATATCCTGTGAGTTTGATAACTATCTCCTGTGGCCTTCAACTTCCAAGTCGAAAGTGATCGATTTTCCTGATATAATCTTTAAAATTCTCAGGATATATATATTAGATGTACTGTTATATGTTTTGTCTCCATTTCTGTCAGATATAACATAAAAACTGATGATTAACATTTTTAACCTGATTGCCGTGTCCTTTTGTTTCTGTTTTTCTAAACAGTGATTTAAAAGCTCGCGCTCGCCGTTGGGATGAGAAACAGATAAGTACACTTATGTCTAAACGCGATGCTTTACAAAATGAACTGAAAGAACAATTAAAACGTAAACGTAAAGAAGCTGAATTGCGAACTATTCAGTCACAAATCAAAGGTCTAGATACTAGACTAAAGTATACATTAAAAGATAAAGATAGCACGGTTAGTTAGTATATTTTATAAAGATAGAATAAATATCTGGTAATTAAGGACATTCGTACTTGTTTTTTTAATAGAATCTTTGCAATAATTGGTTACTGAAATATCTGTCAACTTGTAATGTAGCTCAGTTGGCTAAGTGACTTAAAAGCTTGTTGATAGTCATTAGTATATCATCTTTATAATCTTTTAATAGTACTCATAATAGTTCATTTCATTACCCACCATTTAATATTTATGTTAACCTATGTTCAAATCTATGCATAATTAGCTATGAATCACATTTAATTTGTAACTGAATTCGATAGCAAAAAGTGACTCTGAATAAAGAATTTGAAACACATGCCCTTAGGTAAACTTGTTTAGAGTTCCAACCAAACAGACTGATGGCACATTTGCTAAAAATGTCTCGATTTGGCGATTTGTTAACAATATTATTATATTTTTAAACGAATTATAACAAACTTCAGTACTATTTCGTTTTACATAAACGATTTAAGGATTATTAGAAACTTTTTGATCAGTGTTTCTTAAATTACATTCAAGTGTGAACTAGTAAAGTGAATGAACTGATCTTGTATGTTTGAACTGTTTGGATTTAGCAATTAGAAATATCTTTACTTGTGGAAAACAAATAATTTAAAGGTAGAAATAAACACTAATACTGTTAACTTCACGTTAAGCTTAATATTTTTGATCAATATATTATGTATTGTGTTAGATATATACAAGGTTTCTTTTTTTTTCAGGAAGAGAAACTTCTTAGTACAAACGAAGAGGAAATGAATCAAATCGCTCGTGAATTAGAAGAAGTTGAAGTAAGGGAAATATATTTTTATTCATTCTCTGTGAAAATAATTCTAAACATATCCAGTGTAGTAGTAGTGTTAAGGATAAAACAGTTTCCTTAAATCTGTCAGCTAAACTTACATCTTTTTTATAGTATGTTTTACAGACCTAAATTTAACACAGCGACTTCTTGGTTCAAGGCATTTGGCTTTTAGCCACTTAGTCCCAGGTTCGAATCATACCCGAACTACTTTGGTTTGGGCACTCGTGTATCGACATTAAACTTCATATTGTGAATGTGGCTTATACTCAAGTACCTGGTGATCGAATTAATTCATAAATTATATATAGCCCTTATCAGATTTACTTACCAGTTCGTGCATTTCTCTCACTAGAACATTCCGATTCATCAAAAGGCTCAATGTGTTTTGATATCTTGGCTTTCTTCGTTAATTTGATTCGTTCAAAGTCATTATTAAATCTGTTATACCAGTTTCTTCTTACAAGTTTTCACTAAGTAGGTTTGTCAGGAAATGATAAAGACTAATTGTTACGATTATTAGACTACTGAAATGATTATTTGTTTAGTCAAACTAATGATTTTCTAGTGAATTATTTGTTGATTCTAACTAAACTGATCATACATTCAAGTTTTATGATGACAAGAATATTATTTCTGATTAAATCTTAATGGTATGTTATGGTCTAGTGGTTACGATACCTAACATACATACTGCATTAGTTTGAAGCCTACTCAATGTACTTTGATTTGTTATATGTGGGCAGACAGACTTGATTATTTGACTAAGAGAGCAATCTTGCTTTTATACAACTTTTATTATGTTTTTTATATTACTTAATGTATTCTCAGCATCTCCAGCTGTTCTTTTTTCTTAATGTTTTGTTTACCTCAGGAAAGTTTAGGTCGTTGCCAGACAAAAATGCAGGAATTACAAATATCAGTTAATGCCGAAAAAGCTAAAATGGATACTGTGGAGGATACTGTGTTTCATGATTTCTGCGTACAGATCGGTGTAGAAAACATTAGGTAGTTGAAAAATGGGGAATATATATATAGGATTATCAAGATTTCCTTTCATTGATAGTAATATGTTTTTAAGAGAAATAATTTTTTAAGTGTTATTTTAGCTGTTTACAATGTGCGTATTCATCTCTGTGTCATACTTAAAAAGGAACTATTTTAAGTTTGATAAGCTGAATAAACAAGTCATTTGTTTATGACGTTTGCTGTTTATTTGACAATAAAAATAACTCAAGTTCGTAGAGGTAGATATAATTGAGCGCATGACAAGACGGATCAGTTTGAGTTATCTCCTGAACCGTAAAATTCGTTAGCTAAAGTACCAACAGAAATATATTGGTAAATATCCCGTCAAATGGTGTATCTAATGTCATAATTTTGCAATCAGTCAGTGATAAACTCTACACATAATTTCCAAGCTTCTTGACATGGGTTGGTCAGACATATTCCCCACGTCGAACAAATTCAAGCTAATATCTCTTCAGTTTTAACTGATGCGTGTCAGGAACTGATAATATGCAGCAATGCTGGGTTTAGACACAGGGTGCTCTGTACAGATGAATAAGTTGATGATTCAGGAATTCTCCATCGATTGAGGTGAATAAAATATGTATTACGTATTTTTAACCACTACTTCAACGAATACTGGTTGCTGTAGGAGAAAGCTTGACGATAGCTAAAAGTGCCCAAAGCTGTATGTGGTATCAGTCCATAAATTCATCAACTACTTGCTAAGCTATGCTAGTAGGTGCAAGCTACTTATTTGGAGTTCGCTTGATTATCGTAATTAGTTTGACGTTGGTTGACATGTCTCAGAATGACATAGATGCATTCATCCCTTATTTCAAAATATTTATGTTTTAATCCCACCACCCTATTCTTCATTCCGAAATCGTATTGTCTCTGTCTAATCCTTCCTACTATTACCACTAGTAATGTTATTACTTGTACTCCGTCGATACTTGTCTTGAAGACTTTATCTCATTATGTTCATTTGGTGTGGCAACATTGAACGAACATGAATTAGTTCAGGTTATCTCGAATCACCACAATGAGAGAAAATTAAATCGATTAGAAACAAAGAAGACGAAATAATGCCAACTTCAGTGTAAATCTAAACATGAGAAATGCGGTTCAAAAGTAAAAAATAATAAAGAAGTATGAAAACCAGTGGATAACACTTAACTCAAGATCTAAATAAACTTTTAAAATGAATGTATCTGCACCACCGATCAATCGTTAAGCCATGTAACCTAACCAGTGTTGCATTAAAATTCTTTGTACTGTTTATCGTCTGTTGAAAAAAAACAATTCACTCACCAAGCTGTGACATGATATTAGGATGTATTTTGGTTGCAGGTAGCAGATCGTGATAATTGTGACCAAGCATAAAACTTGGACTCAGAAATTCTCTCCAATCGACTTCAAATAAATTAATCCAAACTAAATCCCATCTCAACATCTTATCACCTAGCTTAGTAACTATTTCTCATCATTAAATCAATAAATGATTATAAGCATCCCAGTTCTTATCATTCAGCCCAAATATACACAACATAAGGCCACTGATAAACCATTTCAAAGTCCGAAGTGTCTAGTTCATTCCGTAGTAATTCTTTATGGTGTTATGAGGGACTTGGCTTAGTAGTTAAGACGTCTAGCTTTTATCGTTTAACCCTCAAGTTCTAAACCCTCTCCACATACCTTAGTTTGAGCGACTGGGTAGCATCATTAGGCTTCATACCTAGAATGTGGTTCATATCCAGGTACATAGTGTGTTGATATTAATTAGTTTTGTGGAACACCACCATGGAAGTTAGATATTGTATGTATTTTGTCATTGATTTCCTAACTAATTATATAACTTGCACGTAATGAAATTAACAAACAGTTTTCCTCAAGGTTACCATAGGTCTGGTATTTGTTTTATTATGTTAGTTGATGAGTTAATTATACTGCATAAAGTCTTTTCAACGCATGTTTATTCTATTTTACATCCCACTTAGACAATATGAGGATCGAGAGTTGAGAGTTGCTCGTGAACGTGATCGTAAACGGCTTGAGTTTACAAATCAACTTCAAAGAATAAATAACCAACTGGAATATGAGCGATCACGAGATACTGAAGGTTTGTTTGGTTCGGATTGCTTCAATATGTATTTTATACATGTTTTCTTTTAAAATAACGTTGATAAATGGAATTCTTACAATTTAATTATACAGACAGGCCTTCTTTAAAATCATGTTTTAAGTTTGTTGTTTAAACTATTCTAGATGCTTTTGTAATTTGTGGTCGGCAGATACTAATACGGCGGATGAGATATTCCTAGTAACAAAGATCTAGTTTGACCAGGTAGATTGGATTTCATTTATTATTTATTTATTTTAACACATAGATATTGGTGCAAGGAGGCACCAAATACATATGCGCCACACAGATCTCATTTGATATGTGTGAGGGCTGTGATACTTGCCGGGGTGATCAAACCGAAGCAGGTGGTTTACTTAGGGAGCCACACCCGGAGCCTTCGACCTGAAGGTCTGATCCACAAGACAGTGGAGCAACGTAAGGAGATGCAGTCCCATGGTAGCCGGTGACCAACGATTGGTTCATACGCCATTTGTTCCTTCAATATACTGGAGCCCATGTGCACCATTGGTTCGGAATCAGGGTTTTCCAACTCCCCTAGATGGACTCTCTATGTCCACTAACCAGGCTAAAGCGACGGACATTCGCTTTTCGTCCTCTCAATTTCGTAAACAACACCCCTGCCACGAGAAGGCAGTGAGTAGGACTTCCCTGGCAGAGGCTATATATGCGTGACCATGTGAGAGCATTTCGAGAGGGAGAGCAGACTCTACCACTCTCGGCCGTACCAAGCGCATTTGGGGGCAGTGGTGAAATGATCAAGACACTTGACTTTCAGCTAATGTCTCTTGTTTTAGCCTCGTTCTACTTTTTACTGTCTAGGCAACCGATTAATATCAAAGCCAGTTACACAAATTTGTAATTGGTGAAAACTAAAAATGACTCTGCATGTCCAGATTCTGCTGTCTTTTACTGTGGTCCTAGCTATGTTATGTTTCATACCTTCTAAATTTACTGTTGTGTTTCATTGTTAATACGTCACTACTAATGCTGTAATGATTGGTGATCGATGGTAGTTGTATTCCGCATAACTTCTCATAAAGCCAATCCGTAATCTATTATATATTTAAAAAAACTGACCATCTGTCTTGTTATCTAAATAACTTCTATTGGAGTAAGAGGTAACATAATTTGTTACTAATTTGTTTACTAAATCATAACTAATTAGTTAAAAGTGAAAACCAGAACTACTATTGAAGTTAGATTTATGATTGTTATGTCAATTATATTGTTTGAATAGCTACTTTTAATCGTAGGGAAGAATTATTAAATTTCCGATACTTTTTGAATATTTAATATGATCTGTTGAAATCAGTTGTTTGTCGAAGAATAAAATTGGAATATCCTCACTACTAACTATTAAAACCAACCATCACACGTTCATCACTTGGTAAACTCTAACATATGAAGGAATTTGCATGTTATGAGTACATTCTGATAATGCGTTCTTTATGGTATAAAAATTGTTATATTTTTCGTTGTTGCTCACTACTTTAAAAATACCCAAACATAATAAAGTGTGTTCAGATACCATTAAAAACGTACATTATCTCATTAAATGTGTGGATTTATCACTTAAATAAATATAAATATCAGTTACCGTTTCCTGGGATGTTACCTTTCTTAAACTCCATCACTGTCATAAATAATTTTAAGCAACTGTCATTTACGATAAACCAATATTCATCTATCCGTCCAGAACTCCAACTTTCAATAATTCAATGTCAACTTCGAATTAACCATTTAACTTGTGGTCCACTTTCCATCTTAGACTTCTTACCAGTATGTACTCCTAACTCACTACTCAGGACCTTCAAGTTTCTCAACGGAGTGTATTACCTTTAGACCATTTATTCTGGATCCAATGGTTCACATTTCCAATATCATTTAATTTAAGGTATTCGGTGGGGTCGATTGGCTTTTATCAACTTGTGTCGTAGGCGAGATATCGGCCGAATTTATTGCGAAGTAGTTCATTCCGTTCTACTTTATGGATGTGAAATATGACCATCAGGAATAAAGGATATTCCTAGGGTTCTAATATTCGATCACAGATATGCTCGTGTATTTTATGATCATGGAGTAAGCAATGTCTGGGTTGGGAATAGGGTACTAGGCGGTGATGACAAATCGATTGATGAGATAGTAGATCTCAACCAACTAATGTGGTTGGGACATGTGTTAAGTATGCCTGTCCACTGCTTACTCGACGAGCGATGTTTTCTGATATAAGAGCTGGGGGAGGCCAGACCAAAACATGGCATCAAACTATTAAGGCATTAACAATCGAACTTTGGCATGTTAATCGGTGTAGACTACCTAGTTGGTGTCGGCATGATTATCGTAGCTGATATTTGGAGACTGAATGGTTTGTCTCCAAATCGTTTGTAGTGGCGCAGGTGCATCCTTTCTTTGTCTTCTCCCAAATGCTAACAATCTAAATTCCTCATAACTTTTTTTGTTTTTATTTCGCTAACATATTTTCTTCCGGAATCATATCTTCGATGCCTAATCCTTCATTTTACCAGTGATACTGTTACTATCTTTAATATTCTGGGATTTGACCTGACAGTTTTTTCTCTTTGTGCTAATGGGGTATCGTAAATTGAACTGATGTACATATGTACCAAATTCTGTGTTGTGACTGACTGAATTAATCGGGTCATTGAAGTGACGAACTAGATAAAACAAGTGTTCTCTGCTCTCTTATTTTATAAATTTCACCTATTGTCAACAGCTATTTCAGCGTTGAATTCATCTTTACATTTGAACAACTAATCCTGTTATTGTTTATCGTATCATATTTCTGTGTAGCAAATGTTAAACGTTGGAAGAGACTGTTTCCGTTGAACGAACTGAAATGGATAAGTGTAAAAAGCAGGAGAAAAAATTAAGGAAGAAATGGAACAAGAAGAGAAAAAAAAGACAGAGGTTGAATCACGTGTCGGTGAATTGAAATATCGTGCAGAAATGCTTGATGGAGAATTAGGTGAAATTCGTAGACGTTTAGTGAATAAACAACGTGATATTCAAAATTACAGAAGGATTTGAATCAAGCCGAAGCGAAATTAGAATCTAGACGAGCTGAACGTCATTCACTTTTACAAGCTGCTAAGGTAAATGAATAAATCTTCACTGAGTGTATTGATATTTGTCTATCAGGTTAGGAGGCCTGAGGTAGTTAGTAGAAACCCTCATTTGATCCAAGTTTCGTGCTATTGTGACGTACTACTTGTTCGGACGAATATAAGTAATATGTATCAGGAATTGAAGGTAGAATTCTTACGGACAGAAGAGTAAAGAAAACAGTAAGCAATCGAAATAACAACAGGAATGAAAGAACGTTGGAGTTTTTAAGGGACAACTCAAGGAACATGGGCAAATAGTGTATTTGATGTATTGTTTCATAGTGTACAAATACATTATGTGATTTTGCATACGGAAATAAATTGGTTTACTACATAAGACTTCGTTCACTGCACAAGTTGACAATTGTGTGCAGGCGCAACTGTAGTCTTAAAGGAACTGACACCTCCGGTATACTTTGAACCTACATCACCAAGCTCCGTAGCATGAATCACCATCACAGAGTTTGTTCAGGTTGCAGCTAGCTGAAATGTTTATAAGTGATTGATCACTGATTAGTGAACGATGTCATAATTCTCTAGTGCTCTAGTCCTAACCGAATTCTATCAACCGTGTTGCAGTGTGGCCACTAGTACAAATGTAATTATTTGTCTATGAAGGACGTATCGTCTGTCTTTTTGTCATTTACATAAAACTTGTTTTTTTTTATTTTCATGACTATAATAAGGATTATCTAAATATTTCCGGTGTATTTTAATTTTAGATGGAGGATTTAGATTTGCCATTGAAACAAGGTTGTGATCCAATTCCTGAATTGAATAGTCAGTTGACAGATAGTGAAAATATGGATCCTAGTACAGAGGAAATGGCTCATATTTATGAATTGGAAGCTCGTTTACCGGTTGATTTCAAACACCTTGATAAGCCTTTGCGACAAATGACTGATGAGAAAGAAGTCAATAGAAAGTAGGTCATCCATACTGATTACGGTTTCAAATACTAAGGTTGTCTTTCTTTTCTTGTATTTACGTCGATCATTTTATAGAGGTTCAATTTTGATTCATGGGAGTAAACTACGTAGAGTATGTATTTTTTAAAATTGTTTCATAGAGCTGAAGAAATGCAAAATCAAGTTGATTCAATGTTAAATAGTTTGGCTCGTATACAAGCTCCAAATTTACGAGCAGGTGATAAATTAGGCAGTGTTGAAGAACGCCTACGATCAACTGAAGCTGAATTTGAAGATACACGACGTAGAGCTAAACGAGCTAAAGCTAGATTTGAACGTGTTCGTCGGTTACGATATAATGCATTTATGAATTGTTTCAATTCCATCGCTGATAATATTGATCCGATTTATAAAAGTTTATCAAGAAATCCTGGTGCTCAAGTAGGTTTTGCATAGTTTATTCATTTGTTATGATATGCTAAAAAACTGAGACTGTTAATGTACTGAGTGGGACATTTCTATGTTAAACTTATCACGACTGTTGATTCAGTCACAAAGAAAATTGAAGTAGATTTTATATTTTTTGTCTCGCTCCATCTATACTTCTGTACGAAAGTGAAAACAGTCGAATTTTGATTTATTGTTTTGTCTTATTTCACTTATCATAAAGTAACAAACTGGTTTTTTGTGTCCATATAATCGCTCATTAACAATTAGACATCCGGTCGATTAGTAGTGAGTAAATATTGATAGGCTCTACTCTTCTATACTTCGCTTTTGAGAATATATAAGATCTCCACTATCGTTTCTTAAACCCCACACAAAAATCTAGTTGATTTCTTACTAAATCTGATTAATTTTTTAGTGAAGTACACTTTTACCAAATGTTCTTTTTATCTTGTCACATTTGTCTTTACCTTTTAAAGAATCTCTGTTAAAAAATTAGTATTTATTGTTTGCCAGTGTTTAACAAAGTAACTTATTGTAATAATGGTAACAAAAATAATATTATCTATGTAGTAATTTTTTTTTAGATATTTATGATAAACTAAACGGAATCAAACAAAAATAAATCAGTATAGGGATTTGTATTTGTAATATCTTCACAGTTGAAATCACGAGTCGATCTAAACTGGACCGCCATTGGAAACCTGGAAGCACTCGACGGCCGTTTGATAGAAGTTAGACATTAACACCGTTGGATGCCAGCCCAGTGGTCTAGAGGCTAAGCGTTCGCGCACGAGAATTTAGGTCCTAGGTTCGAGTCCCGCGTGTGGGGTTGTAGATGCACACTACTGAGGTTTCCCATACTAGGACGAAACGGTCGTCCTGTGCTTCTGGCTTAGGTCGAGCTTAGATCTAGTGGTGGTCTAGTTTAGATCAACTCGTGAATTCAACTGCGAAAATACTTCTATCTCCACAAACCCCCCATATTGATAAATAACATATCAAACAAATAAGATGTATGAAAATTATCAAACAAAACTTTTTAGAGCAAACAAGAATTAGCCACATCGAAAAGTTATTTACATATGCCATATGTATGTTAAAAGTGTCCAATGTAGTTGATAAATTTTTAATCATAGAATAATACCTTCAAATATAACATTTGTATGTTAACTGAATCAGTTTTATGTTGTTCAGATAATGTTGTAGCATCAACTGAAAATATGTACAATATAGGTATGTTAGTGACCATCTAGTAAGCTGAATAACAATGAAATTGGAAAACAAGGAGTGAAAATAAAAGCATATTCTGTGTTAATGGGACATATATTAAATTATAGCACATTTCATGCAGGACTGTTTTGGGGGACTCTGATTGTCCATTTCTTAATCAATCAGCGCTAACGGATACTTGGAAAAGACTAGAATATTCTTTTGCAAAAAGGATAAATATACTGATGTTTTTTTCTTTTTATGATTCCTACTCCCATTCAACCTTGTTTATATAGAATATAATTACATTCCTGTTCTGATTTAGGGACTTATCTAGCGAAGTAGTGTCCAAGATTACAAAGCAATAAGAGTAGCTGGGTCGTAACAAGAGAACTCATAACAGTCTGTTTTTCAAAACGATAGACTATTGGTAATGGCTTTTCAGGTTAAACATTGTTCAACAAAACAGTGATAAGAAACGGACTAATCGGGTAAAATTTATTTATAAATTAGATTCTTACTTAATCAACATCTACAGTGTACATTTTCTAACATCTTATCGTTTTTCTTCTTTTTTTCATTTCATACTATACTACACCTAGGCTAGTTTATTACCAACTAATGCAGAAGAACCATATTTAGAAGAGATACAATTTCAATGTGTTGCACCTGGTAAACGTTTTCAACAAATGGATAGTTTATCCGGTGGTGAGAAAACAATAGCTGCATTAGCTCTACTTTTTGCAATGCACCGATATAATCCATCACCATTCTTTGTACTAGATGAAATTGACGCTGCATTAGATAATACGAATATTGGTAAAGTAAGCACAATCGAGTTATAAAAAAGTATTGGTCTATTTCATTTTCGTTTTTTATCATACTAAGAAAGCTTAGCTTATCTTGATTTAGTTCTCCTTATTACATTACCAATTTCTTGCTCTTAAAGGATAACCTCGGTGATATTTCTCTACTTCATACTTCTTTAATGATCTTTACTAACACCTGACCGATTGTCATGTAATCCGCAATCGTTATATGTATTATTATATAAACAAAGTTGTTGCATATGAATTTGATGTTATACTGAAATTCCAGTTTTCTCTATCTCGCTAACTTTGGAGTGTTGATGTGTAGAATGTGTTCATTCTGAGTTTATATTGGTTCTCGTTTTTTGTAGAATAATCCCAATCGTTTATCAATAGAATTTACCGTAATACAATTAGAAACCCACCTATCCTATTCGTAATCGTTTTTTAACATTGAAGGGATGATTTTCTTATTAGTTAGATTCCTTATAAATAGTTAACTTTGGTTGGAGTATTATTTTTGCTTTGTTTTAGATATTTCATTGTTGTTTACTCTATCATCCTCTGTTTAAACGTAGTGTATATAGTTCAAATTAATCAGTAAAATTCGATAAACAATAACATATGTAGGATATGTCTCTAATTGTTATATTCATCAACTCACAGTTACTAGTCAAATATTCGTGGACTTGGCTTCAATTCAAATTAAGTATGAAGAGTTGTGATACTGCGTAGATGTCTAAATCAAAGTAGTTGAGGTTAGGGTTTGAATTCATAATTTATTAGCTGAAATTCAATTACGATAACTATTTAGTCACTTTTTCACAGTTTTTACCCAGTTATACAATATGTGACATGAAATATAGGTTCACAATGTCCAACCTCTAACTACTTACAATGAAATAAAATATTTTCATTGTAAAGGTAATAGTTTATTAAATAACTGTGATACCGTTATTAAACAATTGTTAAAAATCTGTGATATAATTAAAAGTTGACTATTCTTACTATTGTGGTGCGTGCTACTTATATTGATATAAGTAGTATATTACTCGAGCCAGGAATCCAATGTCTGGCAGCAGAAGATGAGGGAAGATCAAGAAAGCAAGAGCGGTAATAGAATGCAATTTGTATGAAAATGTAAGAACAATGAAGTCTGAAGCATTTCGAGACAATTGGTGGACATTTTGCAAATTAACAATTTACTAGATAGTTCTCAGATGTTATTGAGATGCTCTGTAATTTGTATCAAATACATTCGGTTGTTCCCATCCGTGTTCTGTTCACTACACTATCATCGTTATAGTTCTCATTAATCATCTGATTGACAACCTAGTGCAGTTTTTATTGATACATTAAACATCGCTAAGTAATCATCACAATGTTTGTTTAAATGATCCAAGCATCTAAAAACTGTATTTCCATTGTTATATTCACTATTTTCTTCTTTTAAACAAATGGGTTTTTTTAAAGAAAAATCGGCAACTATAACACGGTAACAATAATATTATGAAATATAAACTCTTAATATTCCTGTTGTAAATAAATAAAAAAAACTGACTTGAAAAATTCCAATAGTGTGATTTTTAATAAAATATTAGTTTTTGATGGAGCTTTGTTCTCTGAGCTGGATGGTTTGGTTGTGGAGCTTTCATCGTTCTTCTGAATGACATCATCAGCTCAAACTTCAGGTAGAAAGCTCCACAACTAAACCATCCAGCTCATAAAACAAAACTCCATCAAAATCATCCACCTGAGCTTATTTTAGCTAAAATCTAGGAATTGGACGTAATCCCATCTGACTGGTCGCAATCATTTATTGTCCCAATATATGAGAAGGGGTCAAAATCATCCTGTGACAACTATAGAGGGATTAGTTTGACTAATATAGCATCTAAAATACTAGCCTCAATAATTATCGGGCGTTTAACTAAGACTCGTGAACTGCAAACACGAGAAAATCAGACTGGCTTCAGACCTGGTCGTGGATGCATCGACCACGTACTAATCATTCGTCAGATTTTAGAACATAGGCATGTTCATCGGTGTCCAACAATGATAGTTTTTTTTACTTAAAGCAGCACTTAATTCCCTAAACCGCGAGATTCTGTGGCAGTGTCTTTCATTGAAAGATGTACCTCAGAAGTACGTAAACCTTGTGAAGGCTCTTTACTCGAACACTACCAATCGAGTCAGAGCTTATGGCGAACTGTCATCTGCTTTTGCAACCTCAAGTGGTGTCCATCAAGGCTGTCCACTTTCTCAATTTCTGTTCAACTTCATCATAGATCTACTGTTGGAAATAACATTCTCGTCGACTGAATTTTCGGTAATTGATCTCCTTTTAGGAGGTCCACTCAAATGATATGGTCCTGTTTGGTGAAGACGCTGATAAAATGCAGAGTTTTTTTATAGCACTGTGCAACATATCTTTCTTTCTACGAACTAATTCTTTCTTCCTGTACTATATCCTTACATAAAATCTTTCCTTTATATATCACACTATTGAGTTAACTGCTTCTATGAATCCGGTGTTTATCTTGCTGTGCTAATGAGGTGTGGCAACTTGGACCGATGCATGTATGTACTTGGTCCTACGTTGTAACTGACTGACTGACCATCTCAAAGTATTAGTTTTCAATATGAATGAATTCGTTTAGTTTTTATCGTGATTCTTTCTCTGATATATGCTTGCATCCATTTATTCTATTTATCTATTTATAATTACTATTAGGTTGCCAGTTTTATACGTGAATATGCTTCAGCACGTGCACAAATTATTGTTATTTCATTGAAAGAAGAATTCTACAGTCGTGCCGATAGCTTAATTGGTATTTATCCAGATATTGTAAGTATCATTATTAATATTGTTATTATTCAATGTTGAATTATATAGAAAACATAAAAAGAGCATAAATTGTAATTGATTATTTCTTTTGATAAACTGGTATATTTTATCGTATACCTGTTACTAAATACGTTGTTTGCCCAGATATTTCGAGACTAAGCACCATGAAGTGATGATAATTAGAACCCAGAAATGAGGATTAAGTACATTTTTTTCAGAGTTCTGAATCTCACTAAAATATGGTGTTATTGTGATGTGTGCTACTGATCTCGACAGATAGATATAGTATGTATCATCAATCAAAAGTGAAATGTCTGGTAATAGAAGTTTAAGAAAATCGAAGAAAAGAGATTGAGAACAGAGAATGATTGGTGTGGAGACGAAAGGACAATGAAGTCTGAGATGATTGATTGACATTTGCAAAAGGAACAGTCAAGTTTGATACAATTGTTGGATATTTTTCAAATTAATTATTTACTATATGATTCTTATATTATAATAAGGTGTTCTCTGTAATTTTGTATTGAAATACATTCGATTATCCTCACTTGTGCTCTCGTTCACTATATTATAAATGCAAATACAATAAGAGTAACGAATTTTAAAATATTAAACTATGACGTGTCCTATCAATAAAAATCGCTGAACACAACGGGTTGAAGATAATTAGGGGTGTTTACTATAAAGGCTGATAAATAACTGAACTAAACAAATTAACTAAGTTGATAGCTGCATCTTTTCAGAGCATAAAAAACTAAATGAATATATGACTCATGATGTAATAGCTGTTTTTAGAAAGTTGAAGGTAATCCATCCTAAAACTGATTAAACGTGATAAATGTCTATGACTCATGGTCACATAGTTAAATATTTTGATTGTATTGTATTCTGTGGGTTAGTTGACTCAATTACTTTCAAACCTGGTTTTGAAGACAACTTATCAACGCTGACGTAACATGGAATTACCTATTCATTACAAGAGAAGTGAGATCGGCAGATAGAGCTTATAAAATGCAGCATATCTACACAAATCTAAGTAAACCAGTAAGCTGTTAAACGGGATACTCAATACAATACTTCATAGTTTAAAGATCAACAGCTTAGTCGTCAGTCAAAGTACTTTATTTCCAACCCGTAGGATTTTCATGTATATGAGGTGTTAATCAGCAGGGTATAATTATCTATTCCCCATTATTTGAAACTACTAATCAAATTCTACTTTTTATGTGTATGTGTCCCTGTGATACTGTTTTATGAATATGTTTTCGCTTAATGTGAATTTTTTCGTTTAATGTACAGTGCCATAGTTGTTACACTTTTTAAACAGATAAAGCTTAAGTAGTCAATTTTACTTTTCACTGGTAACTTTCAGATTATTGTATCAGTGGTACGTACAGAAGCATAACGTATTAATCAGTCACTGAGTTGTTAAGTACTACCGTTTCACCAAATGTATAATGTTGATCTTTGTATTCTGCAGTGTCTCACTAATCATTATTATGCTTCTAACTCTTGGCTTACGAACTATACAGCAGAAGAAAATTATGGCTATGTCGAAGTTCGTCTTTTCAAAATATTCCTCATTGCATTGTTTAAGGCTCGTGTATGTTTATAGGTTCATAGATCGACAGGAATTTATTGGTTGTGAACTGGGCTTAATGAGTAATTCACTATACTCAGAATGACGTTGCTCATACTTACCTTGATATTGACTTTTGACCTTCATAAATAAGGTTGCCTATCCGGCAACTTTACTTGGCATATCGTTCGATCAACTTCACCTTGTGATAACCATAGTATTGTATTAGTAGTGCACTATTGATTTATTGATTTCAAAATATTACCATCTCATGATGCATTTCTGTTTGTTATTTGTTTATATTACAGGAAAATAATTGTCTTGTCAGTCGTGTTTTAAGCTTTGATCTGTCGAAATATATTGATACCGGTGAACAGTAACCAGTAAACACCGGCTTTTGGGGCAGCGAATACACTCAGATAGTTGTGCATTTCTTTTATACCTTAATTAATTTATTTTATCTATTCTAGGTTGTATTCCAATATCGTAAGGATTTATTCTATTCTATTTCACTAATTTTTTTTTAATTTTATTATCTACAAGTGAGCAATATCACTTACCTTTGCTCATTAAATACAGCAACAGATATTCTATTTTTTGTTGTTGTTATACATAGAATTATGATAATTCTCCTCCATCAGTCAACTAACCGTATAGTACTGATATGTTTTATTACATTTTTTACTAACCATTAAAATCTTGTGTTCATCCTATATTTACGTGTGTATAATCTTCTCTGTACAATTGTTATTGTATTTTTAAATAATATATTTTTTGATAAAACATGTTTTTTTTTAGTGTATTTGTTTTCATTTCCAACAAGTGTTTGTGTACGTTGTTACATAATGTGATGGGATGTTTGATGCGGTTCTATTAAGAAACCGAGGTTTCTGATTAGTTACTATGGTTCACTTGGAAATGTCTGTCTAATGGTATGGTATGATGTATCGTCTAGATTAGTGTTGATTTAGCATTAATTCTTTGTTATATACATATAACCATTGACTAGTTCAGTTTATAAATACTCAAAGAAAAACAATCCCTCGACTTTTAATTTCAACTAAATAATAGGTTTCAGGTCATTCTTGAAACGAAGAATATTTGTAGTGCTAAATGAGAATTTTAGAGGTATTGTGTTCTGTGAGCTGAACAGTTTAAGTGTACAATTATCCATCCAACTTCGAGAACACAATACCTCCACGTAATTCTTGGTAATGATTTATGAAGAAGAATCAAATCGAAATTCTAGGTTTCGTTTAGGATTTTTCACTTAACTTTAACTTGAATCTATCTAATCAAATTATTCACTCTTTTTAACAGATTCGTCTAACATTACTACCATAAACAATTATTCTCCCTCTTTAACTTTTATGCAACAGTACTAAAGTGTATCTCAAACTACATAAACATTCGTAAAGTTTCGAGATCAATATGGTGTGAGGAATCCAAGCCCTTGATTGTCCAGTTCAAATTCAACAGTTAGTTTATCAGTACTTTTGTAACGGTTCAACAAAAACGTAGATAACAAACAGGAACAAAACGTGCATCTACATAGACTTCCTAAAATATCTACAATTCCAAGGGTGTCAGTCTAGAAGTAAATGTTCACATCAATCATGTTTAGTATTATCGATTTCATGTATACTTGAGAACACTAAGCCTTCTCTAAGTAGACAATTACTGGACCAACATAAAAAAATGTGTCTATCGTCTGTACCTGTAGCTTCTTGTTTGAAATTCTAGTCTTCAAATCAATAAACCACACCCTTGTATCACTTTTATTTCACTGAAACCTTAACGAAGTGATGTTGGGATCATTGTTGCTAGCCTACTTCTGTCACAAATAATATCCTAAATAAAATGTTCTCACTGAAAAATGTTAATCATTTATGAAAAACGAATCATTTTACCAAAATCTTGTTTACTCTGAAAGTCAATGCTCTTAAAAATATTCGTGGTAACTATTATGGATTGAAAGTATTTGTAACTTATTATATGTGTAACATTTAAAATGTTGTGTAATCGGTCAGTTAGTGATCTAACGTACGATCTGGTACAATCCAAGTCGTTACACTTCTCAATAAGCACAACATGAGGGTAATTTAAGTCAGTGAGAATCTAACGAAGATAAATGATATACATTTTAGTGTAGGCGAAACGTATGTTGAATAAATATCAAAGAATAGGAGAAGCGGAATGAAAGTCAGCCAAAAATGGAAAACAGACAACAAATTTCAATCATTAGAAAATACAGTTATCTCAGTGAACAGAGGTTTACAGCCTCATCAATCGAAGGGCAAGATAAGCTTTCTGTATACATTTTATTTAAAAATATAGTTAAGAAAGTTCTGCATAGTGTTATTCCTATCAAACAATAGTAATCTATTCATCATTTTGTGGCTCACTGATTTTTTTATGGAATTCTTCCTCGAATTTCTTTTCTTGAGTAATGATTTATGCTAGAAAATAATAGTAATAATTACATTTTTTTCAGGCACACTTTTTATCTCATGTTGAATATTGTTTAATTTCATGCCGAGACCAATTGAAAGTAAAATTTATTCCTGAAGCAAGTGAACGGTTTGTTTTAGGATCACCAAGGTAAATGGTTTTCATACATATTATTTCAAGTAGTTATGTATAAATTCTTGCCATTGAGATTACAAATCGACCTAATTTAGACAACCATTGAAAATCTGAAAGCACTGAACAGCTCTTTCGTCCCGGTACAAAATTCAGAAGTGCTCATACACAACCTTACCCTAGGAATCAAACTTAAAACCTTCGGCCTCGTGTGCGAACTCCTATCCTCTAGATCACTTAACGGACACCCGACGGTGTTATTGTATAAGTCCAATCAATTAGAGATATTGCACAACTGTCATCCATTCTTTACGGTGAATAACTGTCTCATATCCGACACAGATTAAACTCCACTGATCCAGGCTTTTAAGTAGAACTCCAGGAGTTGTATGTCGAAGCAAGTGTGAACTCGTGACCAGTTGAGTTCAACCATGTAGGGTATAAGCAAAATACCCACTACAAACGATTGAAGATAGTCGCACAATATCGTGGATTGATTGAAGTTAGACTTGTAGACCAGTGGATTCAGGGTAAATGGTCTATAGGTTAGCGGTCGCGCATGAGATCAGGTGTTCTGGGTTCGTCCCTTTGATGGTGGTTCGTGGATGCACGCTGCTGAGGATTCTTATAATTAGACAAGAAGGGTGTCCAGTGCATTTAGATTTTCAATGATTGTCTAGCTAAGATCAGTTCGTGAGTTAAACTTTGTTTACCTTGCGAAACACAAAAACTGCTATCTATATGCACTTATTTATACATACATTTTACTGATATTTAGTGATGAGTTAACGAATATCAAATGTAACTGATATAGAGGAAATACTTAAATGGATTTTTTACAGAATGAATCGAAAACCTATGCTCTATACTTTACTGAATAAAAATTACACTGAAATAAAATTGTTGTCGTACTGAGCAATTATCATAGTAACTTAAATGTGAGTCAATCAGTCAGTCAGCTACAACGTGGGACCAGGCACATATATGCATTGATCCAAGTTACCATACCTCATTAACACAACAAGATGGACACCGGATTCATAAAAGTAATTAATTCAGAGGTAGTAATATATAAAAGAAAGATTGCAATAAGGATATAGTACGGGAAGAAAGAATTAATTCGTAGAAAGAAAGATACGAAGCGATTTTAATCTCTTAGTTTAAGGTAAGACAGAGTGTATACACCCACGACATTGTGATCGATCCTCAGCCATGTCACCAAGATTCTCTAACCATTGGTTACGATATAAATAAAAATAATATATTTATAATATCCTAATGAGTAGAAAATTGGATTTTCTGACGTTTCGTGACTTAGTGTAAGTCACTTCTTCAGAGAATAAATAACCAAATTAAACTTGGATTAATTTTAATTTGGTTATTTATTCTCTGAAGAAGTGACTTACACTAAGTCACGAAACGTCAGAAAATCCAATTTTCTACTCATTGGGATATTACAAATATATTATTTTTATTTGTAACAATCAACCCAATGCTCAATTTATTCGAAATTGTCAAATCAAACATTGGTTACGATAGTCACGCGGACCTCAGTCAAGTAGTCTACATCTACCAACATGGCTCAAACCACAAGTTAGTGACTTCAAGCACTGATGCCACGTTTTGGTTTGGCCGCCCCTAACTTTCTTCCAACCATTCCCAACACCAGTTAGCATTGCACGTCGTGGTAATCAGGGTTCAGACATAAGCAACACGTGGTCCAACCATCTCAGTCGATGAAGATTCGCAACCTCATCAACTGATTTACCATCATTCCCTAATACCCTGCGTCTAACCTCACTATTACTTACCCGGTTATCCCAGCAGATGTCAATATTTCTAAGACATCTGTGGTGAAATACTAGTGGCTTACGAGTGTCTTCTACTCTTAATGGCCATGCTTCGCAGCCGTAAATTAAAACAGAACGAACTTCCGCGCAGTATACTCGTCCTTTTATTGATAGACGGATATCTCGCCTTCGCCATAGGTGACGTAATTTGGCAAAAGCCAAACGAGCTTTTCGAATCCGTGCTGAGATTTCGTCAGACACCAACCCATTAGGGCTGATCAGACTTCCAAGATAAGTGAAGTTGTCAACGTGTTCGACTACTTCACTCCCTATCCTTAGTTCAGGTGTTGACGCAGACCAGTCCTGAAGCAACAACTTGCATTTAGAGGGAGAGAAGCGCATTCCAAACATTCTGGCATTGTTGCTTAGTGCTACCAAAAGACTCTGCATTTTGTCAGCGTCTTCACCAAACAGGACTATGTCATCTGCGTATTCTAAGTCGATAAGTGGACCTCCTGGAAGGAGATCAATACCCGAGAATTCAGTCGACGAGAATGTTATTTCCATCAGTAGATCTATGATGAAGTTAAACAAAAATGGAGAAAGTGGACAGCCTTGACGGACACCACTTGAGGTTGCAAAAGTAGATGACAGTTCGCCATAAGCTCTGACTCGACTAGTAGTGTTCGAGTAAAGAGCCTTCACAAGGTTTACGTACTTCTGAGGTACATCTTTCAATGAAAGACACTGCCACAGAATCTGGCGGTTTAGGGAATTAAGTGCTGCTTTAAGTAAAAAAAACTATCATTGTCGGACACCGATGAACATGCCTATGTTCTAGAACCTGACGAATGATTAGTACGTGGTCGATGCAGCCACGACCAGGTCTGAAGCCAGCTTGATTCTCTCGTGTTTGCAGTTCACGAGTCTTAGTTAGGCGTCTGATAATTATCGAGGCTAGTATTTTAGATACTATATTAGTTAAACTAATCCCTCTGTGGTTGTCACAGGATGATTTTGACCCTTTCTTATATATTGGGACGATAAGTGATTGTGACCAGTCAGATGGAATAACGTCTAACTCCCAGATCTTAGCTAAAATATTAGTCAACCTAATCGCTAAAATTGGACCACCATCCTTAAAGACCTCTGGAGCCAATCCATCTGGACCAGCTGCCCTTCCTCGTTTCAGATTAACTATAGCCTTTTGAACTTCAGCAGGAGTTGGGGGACCTACTTCAATGTTCCATTCACACTGTCTGGGAATGGAGGGTAGTTGTAGAGTAGCTGAAGGCCAGCTGAACTGTTCTCTGAAATGTTCCGCCCATCGTTCTAAACGTCTGGACTGGGAGCAGATGAGAGTATCGTCTTTTTCCGAAATAATCTCACTTACACTTGACTTATTAATTCCAGTTTCTTTTATTAGTCTGTAAAGCTGTCTTGTGTTCCCTATAGTCGCCGCCTTTTCCATCTCTTTTGCTTTCGTTGCCCACCACTGCTCACGGTCGTTCCTTAGACTTTTTCTTAACCTAGATCTGATTTGTTGTCGCTCTTCATCGTGTTCAGAGCCTGATGGGATGAGTTTACGAGAATCCATCAGTGCAATAGACCTTGAGGAAATCCACTGGTTCTTTGTAACCCTGTGGTTTAAATCACTAATAGATGTCACTGCTGTTTCCACAGCTGCTTGTATGTCTTTCCAAGCAACATCTGGGTCAGCCTCGTTTTCAGAACTACCTAAGTGTGACCTCAGTTGTTCCTGGAACCTACTTTTGGTTTTCTCGTTACTCAACTCAGTTCTAATGGGTCTTTTTAATGTGGCTTTTTTGCGTCCAGTGAGGCGCAAGCAGATGCGTGCCCGTATTAGGGCATGGTCGGAGTCCAAGCAGGTACTCCAGAATGAGCGACAATCTTCTACCGACCCTCTCCAACGATGACTGATGGCAATATGGTCTATTTGAGTCCATCGTTGGTTTGGTGTAGGGGGTCGCCATGTTAGACGATGTCTCTCCTTATGCTTAAAATTTGTGTTTGCTAAAAATAAACGATTGTCTGAGCACAGTTGCAGCAGACGATCACCATTATCTGTTCGCTGTGCCGGAATACTAAAATACCCACCTAAATGCCTTTCTGTTTGGTTTAAACTACCTATCTGAGCATTAAAGTCACCTGCTACGAGTACTATGTCTGAACGTTTAGCTTTCTGTAAAATTCATCTGAGCTGCAGTCAGTGGGAGCGTAGGCAGAAACGACAAAAAGGCAACGACGTGTGTCCCTATCCTTCCGAGTTCTTACGGAGCCGTTTAGCCGAACAGCACATAGACGACTGTTGACGGGGATCCACTCTAGCAGTGCTTGTTCCGCCCTCATGCTTAGTGCTATGCCTACACCTGCCAGTCCACGAGAACTGGCCATCGGGTCACCAGATACACGGAGGGTGTATCTCGTTGGCTCTCCGTTTTGCCGAGGTGAGGTCAAGTGAATGACCACACTGGAATCCTGTATGCGTGTTTCGGAGACACAGCATACATCAATGGAAAGAGACTCTAGGGTTTTAGCCAAGGAAGCCTGCTGACCGATTTGACATAGGGTGCGTACGTTGAAGGCTCCAATGTGTAGTTTGGAGCGAGGTTTCAGTAGACCTGGGACAGTGTTTTGAGCACTAGAATCGTTGGCTATGGTGACACTTGAGGGGAAGCCGAAAGAGGAAGTTTAGAGTTGAAAGTCGATGTAGGAGGAATAATAGGAATTGAAGAGGGAGGTTGATTATGAATACAGTGGTCTTGAGTGCTGTTAGAGGTATGAGGGCGGTTATCACTTCCCGGTTGCCCACACCGTGGAAGGGTTCTTCTGGAGGTACCTGAAAAGGAAATTGGATTAGAGGTGGTCTTAGTGACCTGAGAGCGTGACCGCAGTGCCCAAGGGACAACTGCTTGAGGTCGGTCACACACGACCTTTTTATGGGTAATTTTTGTGTTAGCTCCGTACTTGTTGAGACCTTACCGCCGGAGACGGATATCCGTGGGATAAGGCGAGGTGTGCATTTTTAGGGTCGACCTTTTCTAACCCCACCCCTCCTTGTGGGAAGGCAGCATCGCTGTCATGCTGGTTGTCTGAAGGAAACACCTTACTGCTGTCACACCTCTGTACAGTCAGCAGTACGACTTCGCCTTCGGACCTTGGGTTTGTTGCTTTTAGTCTTACCGCTCTTCAACCGACCTGTCTGACATGGTAGGACCTTGAGGAACGGTTGTTCCAGCCAGTATAGCTCGGTTGCTTCATCACGATAGGCAAGCCTGACCACCACGTCAAGGTAGCAACAACGGTCGGGAACTTATATGTGATGTCGTGTTTGATCCTGTTTTATAGCTCATCCTTTTAGCTACTTATATAAGAGTAAGTTTTCCGTAAGGAGTCAACTTGAAAGTCAATTGACCTCCTTCATGTCAACTAGAATCATTTTAGCTGGTTATGTATTCACAGGTCATATTGTCATTGTGTTTTTGTTTTGTTTACTGGATCTTTTATTAATATTCATTATATACGTAATGTCAATTCTCCGTTTACTGTATTAAGATTTTTCTGCCCTCATTATTACCTACACTACTTTGTTTTCCCTTATTATTTTCTTTTTCCTATTCCATATACTAAAATCTATTGCATTGAAGCAGTACACTAACACATATGACCCTTTATTTTTTCTTAAAAGTCTTTTCCCTGTTTAGTTTTGTTATTATTTCTTATTTTCTAATCTAATTCTCAATTATCTTTTGTTTGATTTCCTTTCTTCATTGTTTCAGTTCATATGGTCATATTAGTGCTGTTCTTTCAGTCTATGGTGATTTAGTATATGAAGCTGTGAGTTTTTAAAATAGAATTATTATATTTCTACCTGTTAATTAATTATTCATTTATAATTGTATTAACACCTCTTATCAACTGTTATACATTTACAGTTCGATATTTAATGTTTAAAAACATTTTGCGTACAAAGCGTTCCTCAACTTGAATTCGAACATAAACGATAAATAATCTGTCTAAACAAACCTGTCATCTCAGATTGTTATGTAATATACTGATAATTTTATGTACTAAGCGAATGATTCCCCACCGTGGCTTTAATGGTAATGACCAAGACTCCTTACTATCATCTTCTTCCCTGCCTTCTAACTAGAAACAAGCCCTAGCTTGTCTAGAAGGTTTATAGATAGAGATCCAAGTATTAAACGCATTTATCTATACACACAATTAATTTTTGTAATTATTAGAGCTTCTCAACTTTTACAAAAAGTTAATACAGATGAATATGTATATAAAAATGTCATTGAATTAATGAATACAAATGAGTGTTAGACCAAACAAAGTTACACTAAATTTCAAGTCAAATGAACGGAAATTACATTTAAACTAATATATAACCTTAGATTCGATTTCATCCTGGTAATTGTATTCAGGTATTTAACATAAGCAAGTAAATCGTTCTTCTAGCCAATATCACCTCCCACCTGCTCTTGTCAATCCGGTAATCTCTAAATATCTATGCAGTCTTAATCCTCTTCTTCTGCGCAGCTAGTTGACATTCAAACGATTAGGTCGGACCATTGGGCAGTACAAACTACGTTCGTGAAGATTGTATTCACTTTTTTAGCTATATGACTTGTTAAAATCTGTTCAATTTTTGAGACAATTTTCATCACAGTCTGAAATTGGCTGGAGAACGCTAGAGATTTATCGGGTTTTTGTTTACTAGTACACTACATTGTGGATCTATGATCCCCCATAAGTGATTGAATAACAGACCTTCCAGGTAAGCTCTTGTTCTCATGAAAGTGTTGGGACGTTAGATCCCGAGAACTCACTTAGAAGAGGACCTAATTTTGTAATTTTATTTAGAAAATTTGAATTTCTCTGTTTGCGCCAAAAGCGCTTTTTTCACCTTCATGTCGTATTTCCCACTTGGGAGAATCTTAAATGCTATTGGTCCATAAATGGATCCCAAAAGTTACCATTCATTATGCTTATTGGGGCGTAACAGATCGAAACATATTTGATGGACGGTTTGTAGAGATCTTCGATTTTTCATCACGGACCGATGTCATTTAAACAGTCACTGAAAACTAAGGAGCTCTACACAGATTTTTCCTTCTAATAAAGGACTTCTCAACAATGCATATTCGTGCTTTCACCTGGGATCGAATCCAATACCTTTAGATATTACTGGGATCGCTTACCTTTAAACCACTAAATTAGTATCAACTGTGTGTATTTTGAACTTCAATTAATTTTCGATATTCTGCCATCATACAACCCCATTCGTGGTAACTCCTTTAAACTCCTCGTAGTTGAACTCCACTGGTCACTACTCACCAATGTCAGTCTATAATGTAAACCATAAAACTCAACAGTCCGTAAAAACCTCTATATTAATGTCTCTAAATTCCCTATAAACAGAACCCATGTTGACTTTAAAATAAGTAATTCATTCAACTGTGTTTACTTATTTCCCTGATTTTTTTAAATAGGACTTGAATGTTCATCGTACAAACACATCAACATCATATCATTCTATTATAAAAGACAATCACGGATCACCGTATAAATTACAACAGGTCAGTGACAGCATGTCTACTTTTTTCACATAAATTAATGTAAATTATAGTCACGTAACCAAACCAAAACTTATGATCAATCAACAAAGCTTAATAATGTTCGGTTTTAACTGTGTTAGTAGGTGTAGAAAATTTTTGTTTGAATTCATACAATAATCATGACATTAAGAGTGGTATAACTATAAATCCGTAGCAGTAATTCAGTTGTACTCTTGTTTATTCTTTTTGTAATCGTCATCTTCGGTATAGATTTTTATTCGTTGAATTCATTTATTCTCTTCCAAATATTGCTTTCTATGTATGATTTTTTTCATCATTGATATAACACTTGTAGTTCGACTATCATTTTTGACTGTTCTAACATAATATGTGATATTTTGGACGAATATATGTACGTATATAATTGACTAATTAATATGTAACTTGCTACTAAATCATATGACAACTAAGATAACTCGAAGTCTGTTATTTCATTATTTATCTATTTGAACACATAATTATTGGTACAATGGTGCACCAGATACATCTGCGCCACACAATAATAATGAGAATGAGCAGAGAAAAAGAATGTGAGGTGCGTATAAGAGAGAAAAAAAGAACAATAACGATCACACATTAGTGTATGGTAGTGTAATAATAATGGGGGAGACGGAAAAGTACAACCAGAGAGAATTCTTTCAGTTAAGGAAGTTACAGTCACTTTTTATAAAGAAAGTAAAAAAAAAGGTTACAACAGGATAGCCACTGGCTTCTACTCTGTGCCTGAACATACGATGTCGACGACAACGGTTACTGGATATATTGCTCTCACCCCTATTTCATCATATTGTATATCAATACTTTGGTGAAAATATATAAACGATCTTGAACTATTTCCTAACCAACGAGAAAACAGTGTTTGGTTACAAAACAACTTATGATTTAAAAAAAGATTTAATATAATTATGATGGATAAATAATTTTAACTTATTTAACGAGCCTTTATATGCTTGAATTAATAGGGTTTTCATCATGGATTAACATCAACTATAGGGAAACTATGAATTTCTTTCTGGAATCTAATTGACTCATCCATATGCTTTACTTCCGCCAATACGACTATATTCTTACTCTCATTTTATAAAATACAATGATAAATTTCTTTATTAATTATTTTTTTTAAATTTCTTTCTAAAGATACAAGATTGTTTAAATTATGTCACAAAATCCCTTGAAAAAATAAAATCTGCAGAAATTTCCACAAGTGTAAATGATCTAACTGAAAGTCAATCGGTAAGTCAAGGATAATCATAATTATCCATTTTTACTATCACTACCGTCTATATATACTCTATATGATGATTGATATAGAGAAAGTTCATGTGTCAATCTAGCGATATAGTTGTGATGTAATTCTTGTAGATCTTTTTCAATATGCCGTAAACTACTACTATAATGAATGTATAGATTGGATGAAATGTGGCTATCGGTAAAATTCATGATGCATGTTTCGTCGTGTTCAAGACTCGTCAAATGGATGTACCTACATTCCAGAGTTAACGCACACTCTGGAACTTGGATACAGTAATTTAGTCTTCAATGCAACACGTTATTGTTTTGGCTATTAATAACAGATAGTCTGAATGAATATCAATTCTAAGATGCCATTACATCCAGTTGAAACGTTTCAAATAAGACGAAATGTGCGTCATTGATTTCATCGATAGTCACATTCCACCCAATTTTTATGAATGTGTGTCATAATGTAGGAAATACATTGCGGAAATCATCAAATTGCATCACAAGGCAAGCCCTCACTTTGAATCCTCATAGTAAAAGTAAAAGTGTTAGACTTGAAAGCATATTGCCACGGTAATTGAATTGTTCTCCCAATTTATTGGGAGCGAGGAAAGTAATATCAGTTGGAATTTTTTTAAACCAAAATGTTCCATAGTTTTGCGACCACTTATTTTCTCATAGGTAAATAATTAATAAAATATGTCCATTTTGGTTGCCTTATATAAGCTGTACTCCATAAGTTCTTGCTTTAACTAATTAAAAATATATCATAGCACAGCAAACGCCCAATGTCATTTGACTAAGTATTCTCGTCACTTCTGACTTTATTATCTCCAAATAACTTAAAAGAACTAATGTCAGACTCCAAACATATAATTAACTCAATGCATAACTGATCAATAAGTTGACTTAAGAACTAAACAGTTGTCTTGGATTTCTTAAATGTTCCCAATGAAAAAAAATGAAAATAATTCTTATGTTTACAATCATCTTAATGTGATATTGCGTTTATGTGTTGTTCATAAACTCACAGTTATTTAATCCTTCGTCAGTTCATTACGGTTTAATTAACTTTTATTGTAGTTTTTATTCGAATTATTCTCCTACATTCGAGATGCTAAAGATTGTTTAACACAACCACCGCGTAAAACTATTGAAGAGCATCTGGCCAATCCTAGTCGGGTAAGATATATATATATATATATATATATATATAATTTGTACAGCATTACGTTTTTCTATGAATTTCTTCTAACATAACAAGCAGCATGCCTTTCATATTAAATTTGTGTAAAGTACACTTTTATATTTCCCCTTGACATAATGAAATGTATAGTGCGGATGTATAAAATTTAGGATTATCATACGAATGATTATTATCTAAAGTTTTGTTGTTTAATACTTTGACACACACTGTTCTATTTTTATGCATTCTATTTCTAAACTTTTGATTGATCCATAAGTCCGTGTCAAATGTATTTATATTTATTTGATAAACATATGACTCCATAGAAGAAAGTGGAGAAATTATATCATAAAGTTCTCAGAATGAGGTTGTAGAGATTGTTGAATCTCATTGAGATCATGAACCGATGTTAGATCACTATTGAAAACCTATAATCACTGCACTGCTATTTCGTCCTAGTAGGGGATTTCTCGACCGTGATTGGTGGAGTTCAACCGTATTGAGTGTGAAGCAGTTGGAGATGGTCGCGCAGTATCCTGGATTTGTTGAAATTAGACGTAAACACCGTCGGATGCCAGCTCAATGGTCAAGAGGCTAAGCGTTCCCGCAAAACCTAAGGTCCTAGGTCGCAGTTTCGCATGCGGGATTGTGCATGCGCATGCTGAGGAGTCCTGTACTGGGACAAAATGACCCTTCAATGTTTCTAGGTTTTCTATGGTGGTCTAACATTGATCGGTTCATGATTTCAATGAAATATCATAAAGTGATATGAGATTTTACATATCTAAAGAAGGTTGCTTAATAATTGAGAGATTGGAGGAAAATAGGAGGATGAAAATAATTTATGAGCGAGGAATATGAAAGGTAATCATCCTCCGAAATGATCTATACGGTCAAAGGATTAAGATCAAAGAGAAGTCGAATCAAAAACTTATACACTGCTGTAGTGTTGGTTATTCAAGCTTGAACTCTGCTTTCGAAAGCAATACGTGTAAAATATTTTATTCCCACGGATTTCATCTCCGTCTTCAGTATGTTTTTGTCTTAATTATTGTTTTGTGATATTGTAAATTTTGTGACAATTTTTTTGTGATTATCGTTCAACCGTTATTTGTTTTTCATTTATTTTTTATCTGTTAAGTGGGCAATAATCTGTCATATTTCTCAACCGTAAATTATTTTTATCCTCATCTTCTCTCCTATCTTCTTGATCATTAAGCAACGTTCTTTTATTATTTGTAACTTTGGATCATTTTACGACGTAACCTCTTTTTCTTCCTTGTCATGTCTTATTACTCTAGATTTATTACTAATTAATTACTCCCCTATTACACTCTGGTTTTGTATCACTTATACACTGTGATTTCTTAATTGTATTGATGTTGTTGTTGTACAAGTTTTGAGTACAGTTAAGAATTGATCTCTCTCCCTTCAGTTTTTCGTCGTTCATCGAGTTAGAAGAAGCTCGAAGACCAATAGGCTTTAACGCCTAGGTTGTTGTTCACTGATTGATGTGTCAATCTAGGTGAACTGACCGATTATTGGACAAGAGAGAAATCATCTGACTGCTTTCTTGTCAATTACGTCCCCGACCATACAGCACTCAGTGCAATAAGAACAAACAGTCTGTTTTTCTCCAACATAACACCTCTATTTTAGTTATTTGTGATATTGGTTAAGCATCAATAAAATCGATATGTGGATGAGTTAACTTCTTTATGGATTTATTTCAATATGCTTATCGTGTCTCTGTAAACTTTGTTGAGTTGTCTGTGCTAATCACAATGTTCCCTTGCATTAAATATCAGTTGTCACAGTAATTGTAATATTTATTACCGTTGTTTTGTTTATTTTTTTAATCTAGAGATGTTTTTATCCACCTATACCGAAAGATATTGTCTTAAGCATATTTATACGTGGTTGTTCATTAGTATTTGCAGCGTATAATTTAGTTTACAATAGTTTGGATAAACGATGGGAAGTTTTAAACCGATCAAGTGTAAGTTGTTTTGTACAGTTTAGCAAATACATATACGCTGCATGTTTTGAATACATTTTCGACAGTATTGTAGTCAAATAAATGCCCTAGACTTTTTTGATTTATGAAAACATATTGCAATAACTAGTATTGTTACATGCCTACGCGATCTACCTTTACCTTCTGATAGATGAGACGTTAAGGCCAACATTAATCCAACTTCCTTTTCAGGTTCCTCAAGAAATACCCTTCCACGATGTGGGCAATCAGGAAGTGACATCAGCCCTCATACCCGTAACAGCACACGAGACCAAGTCGGTCACATTCAAATCCTTCCTACACCTCCTAATATCTATCTTATCTCCACGACTAACCCTTCTCACGTCTCTTTATCACCTGGCACCGCTACGGCAAACGATTCGAGCACGCGGAACGTTATTCCTGGTCTCCTGAAACCACGCTCCAAACTACACGTAGGAGCACTTAACGTCCAAACACTGTGCCAAATAGGACAACAGGCTTCCTAAGCTAGGACTTTGGAATCTTGCTCCATCGATGTGTGCTGCGTCTCTGAAACGTGCATACAGGATCCAAGTAGGGTAATTCATTTGACCGCACCATGTCAAAATAAAGAACCAACTCGATTCACACTTCGTGTACTAGGTAAGGATGGCAAATCAATTGATGAAGTAGTGAAACTTCATCATTTGAGATGGCTGGAACACGTGTTACGTATGCCCAACCACCGACTGCCTCGACGTGCGATGTTCAGTGGTATAGGAGTAGATTGGAAGAAAGCTAGGGGTGGCCAGATCAAAACATGGCATAAGTCCATGAGGTCACTGACAAGTAGACTGAGTCATGTTGGTAGGTGTAGACTATCTGGTTGGGGACCGCGAGATGATAGCAACCGATGGTTAGAGACCCTGAATGACATGGCTCAAAATCGTTTGTAATGGGGCAGGTGCATCCAGTCTTTGTGTTCTCCCAAAGTTTGATCTCCTTATTCCTCCTTGTCTCTTTTTTTCTCTTCCCAAATTTATTACACAGGATTATACTCTTTAAATAACATCTCCAAACCCTAATCTTCCCAATTACTGCTTATACTCTTACTACCTCTACCACTACGGGATTTGAATCGACAACTGCATCTGTGTGCTAATGTGGTGTGGCAACTCGAACTGATGTACGCGCGTACGAAGTTCTACGTTGTTACTGACTGACTGACTGATATGGAAAATACAATTACAGAGAAAGTTAAAACTTATAAATTATCCTCTAAATACAATACTAGTTCACAGAATGAACCAGAAAATAGACGAAGTTACTAGACTTATCACTTATTAACCTATGAAAACATTGTGGTTCACCTTAGCTTCAGACATTTTTTCCAAAAAGGTCTCCTCAATTCCACCTGTTTGTAGTGAATTTTGTTTTTTTTCTATCCATTGAATAGATTGAATGTGTGATACCAAGACTCCAGGAAACTTTATCGTATTTAGATGCAGCTATGAACACCTTAATGTATCTAATGAATAAACGTAACATTTTATAATTCATGGATTGAATTTAATCCTGTCAATTTTATATTTTCTCTCCCTCATACTTGTTTTTATTTTAATTTATTTCCTTATTTGATTTATTTGACTCTTCATTTCATTGTCGTTAGAGATTTGGTTTTCTAAACATTAGCCTGCTGTAGTTTTTATAAAATTGTATTTCAAAGGTAAAAACGCACTAATCTTCGCTATCTAGGATTTTCACAATGTAGATGCATATTTATTTTTTGGTTGTATGCAATTCATTTGTCAAATGCGAGTTTATGTGCTGAATTTTGAACTACACTTCATATGAGAACTAGTGAATACTATTCTACAGTCAATGCCAAATTAATTGTTATGAGATTCAAACCTGATGCCTCCTGGTTGACTTCTGACTATCGTCACCACCAAACGACTGAAAGCTACATTGTTTCTATTTCTCATGTGGTTTTTTGAAGTGTTCAGATGTCTGTCATACTATGAGGACCTACAGTCTTACTAGTAAGTGGCGTAAGCTGGCAATGTAATGAAGCTAATCAATTATTCCCCGCTTCAATATTCAGTCCATTCCTTCGATTAGAAACATGCATAATATTGACTTAAAACATTGATTTTGATCACTCCTACTTTTTGAGTTTTCTTTTATCAAATAAAAATATATTCTTCTGGATAAGTGGTGGATTCTACAGAAATTACTGTCAATATATTATCTTTATTATATACGTCAAATAAATGGTTTTCAATTTTGTATAACTGAAAATGTATGTTTCTTGTAAAGTACGATACAAGTAATTCGCGGAGTGATGCAATGTGTTTTGTTGCCATTCGATGCATTGAGAATAATATTTCTACATTGATGCAGGTTTTCTAACGCTCTAGAAAAAAAAAGTAGGTATCACTTTTAAAAGCAGCAACAGAGAGCCTAACTGTTGACCGTAGACTCATCTTTATTTACCAGCCATCTTTACTAATACAACTGTAATTGACTTGCTACGTAATTTGCAGATCTTGCCCTTATAATTTAGCATTAGTTCATTCTGCAGTGTAGTGTATTAGGTAACTGCAGTGGCTCAATTTCATCCAATGAACCAACATTCGGATTACAGAACTGGTGTTTTGTTCTTTATACTTCCAATGGTCAATCACAGTAAACATCTACTGGGACAGGGTAACCATTTTCTATGTTTGTATGTGCTTTTCAATGTAACAGCAAACCACTGATATTTTGAAGCGTTTTTTTATTCTGTAACGGTCCAAGCTATTCTGGGAAATTTGTAACTGGATGTAGCATTGTATCTCATATAGAACGTTGGAAGAAATAAGATGTATTTTTGTAGACAGGCCACTATTCCTGTCATTTCAGTCAGTCAGCTGGCCGTTAAAACATTTCTGTCGAAATAACTTCTAAATGAGGATTGCTTGATTCAAGATTATATATCAGGTCGCTCTGGATTCGATAAGATCTGAGACAGTAATGCATTTGAAATATATATGCAAAGTGTACAGATGACATATGTGATCCCGTAAAAGCAGAAGTGCAAGAATTATTAACTCCAGTAATGTTTCACTGTGCCGACAAAAGTGGATCCTGTTTTACGATCTTCCACTTAGTAGTGTGTTACTACTGTATCTCAGAATCTAAGTGTCTTTGACACGGGATGAAGGCATCTTGTATGAACTTTTAGAATTTCTGTCTAGGTCGGTGTTACTTACTTACGCCTGTTACTCCCAATGGAGCATAGGCCGCCGACCAGCATTCTCCAACCCACTCTGTCCTGGTCCTTCTTTCCTAGTTCCATCCAATTCTTGTTCATTTTTCTCATGTCTCTTTCCATTTCTCGGCGTAATGTGTTCTTTGGTCTTCCTTTTCTCCTCCTTTGGCCTTGAGAATTCCACGTGAGGGCTTGCCTTGTGACACAGTTGAATGCTTTCCTCAATGTGTGTCCTATCCACTTCCAGCGCTTCTTCCTCCGCTGGGATCTGGTTTGTTCTCTCCCACAGTACGTTGTTGCTAATAGTGTCCGGCCAATGGATCTGAAGTATTTTGCGTAGACAATTGTTAATAAACACCTGTATTTTCTGGATGATGGCTTTCGTAGTTCTCCAGGTTTCTGCCCCATACAGTAGAACTGTCTTGACATTTGTATTGAAAATCCTGACCTTGGTGTTGGTTGACAGTTGTTTTGAGTTCCAGATGTCCCTCAGTTGTAAATATGCTGCTCTTGCTTTGCCGATCCGCGCCTTCACATCTGTATCAGATCCACCTTGTTCATCAGTGATGCTGCTCAGCGTAAAAACAACCACATCAACAATTAATATAGATAAATGAAACGTCTGGACAATGTAGGATATCGAAATAACGAGTCAATGAGCAACAAAAGAGAGGTTATAAGTGTAAGCCATTGAATCCATGCTGAACCTGAAATGTTAGATTCTAGGGAGATGCTGCTGTACTCCTATCGCGAAGAGGAAAATGCTTCACACACTCAGGGAGGTGCTCTGATGCTGTCCAAAGAAGCACGAAATGCAGTTGGGAATCTCACAGATCTGGAATCATCAAAACACCGTTCAGAACAAAGAAGGGAATCACGATAAATGTCATTCAGTTTTGCACCTACCAGTGATTCCAACGACGATAAGAAAGATCAGTTCTACAAGATAGTGCAATCGACCATGATGAAGTACTTAGGAAAGGACCTGATCATTCTGATGGGATGTCTAAACGAAAAAGTCGGAATGGACAACACCTGATATGAATATATCATGGGAAAACATGGACTGACTGATATAAACGAATGAAAATGGGAAGAGATTTGCAAATCTATGTGCATTCAACAAAATGGTTATAGATGGCACAACATTCCCACACAAACACATGCACAGAGAATCAGATGGAGAAGCTCTAAAAACTATGGAATCTTCCACGTACCTGGACAGCATCATAGATGTAAAGGCGAAGATTGGCAAAACAAGGACCGCATTCCTACAAATGAAGAACATGTGAAACTCAAAACAACTGTCAACCAATATCTTCAATACGAACGCGAAGGCAGTACTACTGTATGGACCTGAAACTTCCAGAACTACCGCAATCATCAAAACAGTACAAGTATTTATAAACAATTGTTTACACAATATACTCTACGTTCATTGACCAGAAACCTTCAACAACAGCCTACTGTGGGTGTGTAACAGCTTAGGTTGGTTGGTTAAGAGTCGACCCCAAACAACCAAGCATATGCCAAAACGGTATTGCTCAAGTATTCATTCACTTCCTTATTTTTTATAAGCGTTATATTCCCTATTATCTTATATTGAATGTTGAGAGCCTTTGTTTGTCTGAACAGATAATCCCACGCTCCACTGTGACCGCGTTAAGATCGAAATAAAGACCTATTCACTACTTGTCTGGTTTCTTCTTTCAATAGCACGAGGGTTACCTATAGGCACGAAAGTGGTGAGCCCTTTTTGAACACAAATTTAACCTCATTTCTGTTATTAACATTTTTTTTACTTAATCGTAAAAATAGACCTGTTTATCTGTAAACTAATTTGAGTATATAACTAGTTTATTCCGTATTATCTTAAGTTATTCGTGTTATAGTAATCATTTTTCGTGCTAACTTTATTGCTATATTTGTCACATACCTCATGTCAGACTCAATAGAAACCCATAATCTGGAGGATTTTTCACCAGTGGAGATAGACACTGTTATGACTACGAAATCCCGACTTCCAGAATTTGATCGTAGTGATCCTGAGTTGTGGTTTGCTCAACTAGAGCATTATTTCACGAGACACAATATCAAATCTGAAGGGATTCGCTATAGAGACTTGTGTTCTATCCTTCCTCCTTCAGTCGCCAAAGAAGTCCGTGACTTGATTTTAAGTCCACCATCACCACAACCATACACCATCTTAAGACGAGAGATAATGAACCGTTTATCATTATCAGATAGTCAAAGAATCCAAAGACTTTTTCAAGGTGAGACACTAGGTGATCGGTCGCCGTCACAGTTTTTACGTCACCTCCAAGTCTTAGTGGGTGATAACACAGTGGGTGAAGCAGTCCTAAAACAAGGATGGATACAAGCTCTCCCATGCTACGTCCAACACTGTTTGGATGCACAAGATCCTGAAACCTCATTATCTCATTTAGCGCGTATAGCCGACAGAATAATGGAAAGAGGTCCTCCAGCTGGATCAGGCACAATAAATCACACACAAAAAGTAGAATCAGCAAAAGACCCCGTAATAGAAGGACTCATTGCGAGTGTTAAGAGTCTCACTGAGGCTGTCACCAGAATGCAAATGGGTCATAGAAACAGGAGCAGGTCACCACAACGACCACGATCCAAAAAAAAAAAAAGGTCACAAATGTCTAGACAATCTGGGCAGTTTTGTTGGTACCACTGGAAGTTTGGTGTCAACTCAACCAAGTGCATGCAACCATGCGCCTGGCCTAAGCATAATTCTAAGACAGCAGGAAACGAGTAACCCCTCCGCAGGTCGCGACGACTGAGGAGGGGCGCCTAAACAGTCGCTTGTTTTATGTTAGAGACAGAAACTCTGGCTTGAATTTCTTGGTGGATACTGGCGCTGCTCTTAGCATCATCCCTCAAAATAAAACTGAGATTAGTCGAGAAACATCATCAATTACACTTCAAGCTGCAAATAAAACTAAAATTGCGATATTTGGGCAGAAAACTTTAACCCTAGATTTGGGGTTCAGGAGGCAATTCCCTTGGGTTTTCACGGTAGCCGACTTAGATCTGGCAATACTGGGGATGGACTTTCTAGAGAGATACGAATTTCTAGTTGACACCAAAAAACGGCGATTAACACTAAAAGAAACTTCGTATTACACAAAAGGCAAAGAAAGTCACATCAGCTCTCTTAACTTGATTCAAACTCCTCCAGTAACAACAGCGAAATTCCAAGATATACTCGCGGAATTTCCAAAATTAACTAAACCAAACCCACAGCCTTCTAAAGACAAACTAAAAGTAAGTCA